GTAAACCACGGTTTCTTAATTTTCACTCTTATTTTCCTTGTGGGAAATACTGTATTGAATATATTTGATAAAATTCCATGAAATGTCTGGATGGGGTCCCGGGAAACAAGGACACCATCCCAAGAAACAGTAGCAAACGATTGATAAAACCTATCATAATTAACCTGACTAAAAATCCTACCATACTTATATCTAGGGACATTCTGTTGTGGACATTTTAAAAACTTACAAACAACAGCATTGTGGTCAGACAAGCCAGCATCAATCACCGAACAATCAACAGTATTACAATTAAAATTAAAATTAGAACACACATAATCGATTAATGTAGAAGAGTGCTGTGAAACCCGTGTTGGTGACTTCACATGCATTTGTAAATTATGAGATTCCAGCAAATTTTTTAGTCGGATTGTAGATATAGAATTCGAATCCTCAAAATTTATATTAAAGTCACCCGATACAATTATTGAGCTAGAAACTGATAAGCGCACAATATACAGGGTATTCCATTTAAAAAAATATAACTTCACGCTGCTGCACTTTTTTGACGCACCCTGTATGCCTGAAATTGACTTAGTTAAAAACTTTTGACAATTTCTTGAAATTTTTGTATTTGACACTTTTGTCAAAAATGTCAAATGAAAAAGTTAGAAGGGGGTGACATTTATAATAGATCACCGTGTACACCGATTAACAGTACTAACTGAGATATTTCCATGTATTAACAGATATTTCTATGTACCTAATAACAAGTTATTGCCAACTATTTCCATGTATTAACAAAATATTTCCACATATTGCCAGGTATTTCCCTAGTATTGGTATTATCACATATTACCAGGTATTGCCATGCTATTGACAGACTAAAATCAAATATTTGTCTTGCCAGAATTCTACGTATTGACATATACACAGGGATTTACATGTTATTAATGGCTATTAACAATGATATTAACATACAGGGTGTGGCACGAAAAACTTTCCACCCAGAGTTTTTCAGATGTTAGGTGTTTAATCAACAATTGCTCAGACACGACAATTTTTGTTTTTTGGAGGACACATTTTATTGGTATTTTCACCCCCTACCTGTCAACCCCTAAGTGGGGACAACAGGTACCCCCAAAATTTCAAATGGAAAGAAGGGTCGAGTGATATGTCATTTGGTAGCTATTTTCATTAAGATTATATCCCCGAAGTTTTAAGTTGCTACTATTTACCCTGCCGGAATGGCGGCATGTCAAACTTAGGATAAATGCTTTTTTTCGATAATTTAAACTGTATAGTTTTCACCTGTCACCCTATGCGTAGGTTACAGATAAAAACCACACAGCATTTTTCCATTGATTTTTCTTAACTTTGTCAAGCCACCATTTTGACAGGGTAAATAGTAGCAACTTGAAACTTCGGGGATACAATCTTAATGAAAGTAGCTATTAAATGATGTATCACTCGACCCCTCTTTCCATTTGAAATTTTGGGGGTACCTGTCACCCCCACCTAGGGGTTGACAGGTAGGGGGTGAAAATACCAATAAAATATGTCCCCCAAAAAACAAAAATTGACGTGTTCGAACGATTTTTAATTAATCACCTAACACCTGAGAAAACCTGGGTGGGAAGTTTTTCGTGCCCCAACCTGTATATTGCCTAGATATCTACAAGTATTGACATATATTTAGGATTGGGTAAATTTCACTTTTCACTTCATCAAGAAATTTCACTCTGAAATTTTCATGGAAATATTGAAATTTTTGAAATTTCCGTGAAATTCTGAATTTTTCTGAAAATTTCCAAAATATGAAATTTTCAAAATCAAATGATTCACTATGAAATTTTTGATGAAATTTCATAAAATTCCATGAAATTTTCTATAAATCTCAATTATTATGAGTGACATAACTACGTGACTTTGTGTATTAGCTGTTAGTTTAGTATGGTGTTTATGAGGTTGTGGTAGGGGAGGTACACACAAAAATAAATAAGTAGGTGTAGGTACAATGGTTGAATGGTTAGACATTCTTCAGACATTTTATTCTGGCTAAAGTGTCGAATGTAAATAAATAATAGCTATTTTCCTAACAAGTGCAGGAGAAGACATTTCCCGCAAGAGTTTCCAAAGCGCCTGAGTGCCGGAAATTTCTTCCCACAAGCTTCAAGAACTATATTTTCTCTTATATTTATCATAAGTTCAGGCTTCCAACATGGAATTCATCTGCCTCGGAAACTTGTCGTGTCCTATAAAATCGAATCGTGGCAAATGAATTCCAACCTAAGCTGAGAATTAAGAATCCATTATCCAAAGCAAGACAACCAGTGAGCAGCGTTGCCATTATTACCAATAACTCCTTGTATTTCCCGGCGAAACATGTACACTTTTCGAAAATTTCGATGATATTTATGAAATTTCCAGTGAAAAATATGAAATTTCCAGTGAAAAATATGAAATTTTCTACAAAGTTTGGGAAATTTCAAATTGAAAATTTCACCGGCAATTTCTGTGAAATTTCACTTTTTTCAAATATTGGAAATTTCACATTTGAATATTTCAAACATGTAAATTTCATTTGAAAATTTCAAACGGCACAACCCTACATATATTACCTACATAATAAACAAGTAGGTATTGACACTATTAACATAGTATTTACCTGGTATTGACATATATTAATCAATGATTTGTACACCAATAGGCTCGTTCAGTGAAGTTTCATTAACCACGTTTTTCCATATTTTTATGGAGTATTACTCACACATAGCACACAAAAAAAAATTCAGCTCAATTGGATAAATATTAAAAAAGTTATGCGGCTTTGAATATTAAAACATTATGCCTCAGAAATTCATCGCTGAGAGATGGTATGACGTCATCTCTCGAGTCAAGACGGGCTAAAGGTCATCACACGACCAACGTGAGAGATGCAGTGACGTCACCGCGTGTTTCAAAACTTTCAAATTTGGAGCGTTTTGATAATTTATTTAAATATGAACAAGGGCTCGGATAATTATGAAATTTGGCACAACTGCTAAACTCAATACGCTCTTTTAGAATATGTAATAAAAAAAATATGCTGTACGAGCCTATTAAGAAGATGAAAAACCCCTCACATAAAACCAAGGGGTTTTTCACCTAACCAAATTTGTACACTGAATACCAGTACTGAGATCATTTGATCAATTGTCAAAGACAATTGACAGATCTCACCTTTCTGATCAATGACTACCATAGGCACAACTTACGCTTAATTTTCATGCATCCGTTTTTCCGTCAATCCGGAAGTATTCCTATTGGTTCAATATTTTGGCACCAAAATATTGGATGTGATGACAAAAACGGATGCATGAAAAGTAAGCTTGTATCCTATGACTAGGTTTTGAGATACAGGTAGTTTAATGTCCAAGAAATATACATACATTTCTTGGACATTAAATTACCTGTATCCCAAAAACCAGGCGCGGATCCAGACCAAAAGTAAGGGAGGGGGGCCATACAAAATATTGGAAGGTACAGGGTGTCTGGTTATAATTTGACACCCCACCTTTATAGGTAGATGATAGGTGTAAACACAAGAGTGGAGCAGTTTTAGCTAAATTATTGCCAAAAATTTGAAATTTTGCGTACTTTCAACTTTTTTCAAATAGAATGCCCTATATTTGATTCGATATTCTTAAACAGCACAATTTTCCGATTCCAAAAATCTATAGTTTCTCTATATTTAGTTGAGTCGTCTCCACCATATTTGGCTTCAAAAATTTTGAAAATATATATTATCAGAGAAACCAATAAGTGCCTCAAGTTTTATCTGAAGCTTTTATCAGAATGGTTTACAAAATCGTCAGTAGGATAGTATTTAACAATTTTTAGAGCCAAATATGTTGAAGGCGGCACAAATAAATATAGACAAACTATATATTAGAAGCAAATAGGTACCTATAGGGCATTTCATTGGAAAGTACCCAAAATTTCAAATTTCTTACAATAAACTTTTGTTTTTGCTGATGGATTCTGAAAATTTAGTTAAAACTGCACAACTTTTGTGTTCACACTTATCATCTACCTGTAAAGGTAAAGGCTGCAGGTGGGGTGTCAAATTATAACCAGACACCCTGTACATACAAATAGAATAGGCTAGAGGTCCCTGATAAAATGACGCCATGAAATAAAATTATGTTATATACGCAGGCCCTGGTAAACCCGGAAAAATTGGTCGATTTAATGTTGATTTTTAAAATTATTTTTTCTTATCTAGGGGCCCCCATGGCCCCTCCCTGGATCCGCGCCTGCCAAAAACTAGTCATAGGATTAATAGACCGTCAGATAGTGACATATTTAGGTGCCTCATTTTCACATACAAGCCTTGAAGAGAGTTTTCAAAGAGGGTTGAAAAGTACATCGATTTTGAGTAGGATGAAGGTATTTTTACGGGTGGCTCCTGGGGATAACATATTGAAAATTGGATTTTCCATAACAGAAATGGAAGATGTCCTGGTGCCCATATTTTCTCGCAAGCCGTGTTTACCAAAGGATTAAATAATAAATCCTGGCTTCGTGAAAACAAAGAAGGGGACGTGCAGTTGCTAAAGGTTTGAAATAAGGGCCTAATGTTGTAAGGAAAAATCGAGATTTTTGGCCATTTTTCCACACAAGCCCATCGGAAGGATAAAAAATCTACAAAGATGGTAGTAAGAAAACATATTGGCTTGAGTGTCGCAAATGGAAAAGTACATTTTAGGGTAACATAAGTAAAATCGAATTTTCCATATGTTATCCCCAGGAGCCACTCGTGAAAATACCTTCATCCTACTCAAAATCGTTGTACTTTTCAACCCTCTTCTAAATATGTCACTATCTGACGGTCTATAAGTTATGCCCATGGTAGTCATTGATCAGAAAAGTGAAATCTGAGGGTCTGTGTATAAACATACCAAAATTTGGTTAAATTTGACAGTGGTTAAATATCCCATAAGAAGTGTGTGGGGTCCTTTATTAATATTAATTTTATTTAGGTACTGGCAAGGGAGGCATGTCAATTTACGGGCACTCATTCAAAGACGAAATTCATCCAGAACTCAAACACAGCGGAGCTGGTATTTTATCAATGGCAAACTCAGGCCCTGATTCTAATGGGAGTCAGTTTTTCATTACTTTAGCTCCTACACAGTGGCTGGATGGAAAACATGCTATTTTTGGTAGAATACATTCAGGTAAGAACTTAAATTATTTCCTATTAATATTTCTTCTGTCATTATTTTTTAGGCATGCAAGTCATCAAAAGAATTGGATTTGTCGAAACAGATAAAAACGACCGACCTGTAGATGAGGTGAAAATTCTCAGAGGAAAAGTGATTAAAACTTGATTATTTTTTCTACTATAAGTATTTAATTATCAATTAATTTTACTATAACTATTCCGTGTATAACAAGACTGTAATATCTATGTTCAATAATTATAAAAAATTTCATAAAAAAAAAATCTATTTTCACTTGATTTAACTTAAAAATGTTCCCTTAAAATGCAATATAAAAAATATATTCAAAATTATTAATTATTAAAAAGCTCAAGACATGCATTTTGTTGATATAAAGAATCATCAATTTTTCCAAATAATATTCTCTGTTACGGCATGATTTAAAAAGAAAAAAAAAAATATAATTAAACCCTAAAATTCTATGGAAGAAAAAAAGTGATTAATAAGGAACATTAGAGAACAAATATGAGACACTTTCTCCATTATGCGTACGCCTAACGGCTTCAGCAAACATCATGGAAACATCTATGCATTGTACCTTGGAACACTGCTCCATATGTTTATCTTGTGGAATGGTATTAGTAACAACAACAGCTTCGAAACAAGCATTGTTTATCCTACTAATGGCAGGTCCTGAAAAAATCCCATGAGTGAGAATGGCATAGGTTTTAGTTGCCCCTGCTTCCATCAGTTTTTCAGCTGCATGGCAAATTGTACCACAAGTATCTGCCATATCGTCCACCAAAATAGCTACACGGTCTTTGACGTCACCTACAAGTACCATGCTAGCGACTTCGTTGGCCTTCTTTCTCTCTTTGTGGATCAAAGCAAATTCCACATTTAATCTGTCAGCAATTGAGGTTACTCTTTTGGCACCTCCTGCATCTGGGGAAACTATTATACTGTTCCTCCATTCGGCTATGTTTTCTTTGATCCATTTTAAAACAGCTGGTTCAGCATATCTAAACCAAATTGTTGATAAATTTTTGCTAGGAGTCATTAATAATTACTTACAAATTATCCACAGGAATATCGAAAAATCCTTGGATTTGTGATGCGTGCAAGTCCATGGTGATAATGTGGTCAGCTCCAGCTACTGAGAGCATATTGGCAACCAATTTGGCCGAAATGGGAGCTCTGCTCTATAAATTGAAAGGAAAAATGTGTGAATTCCAAAAAAAAAACAATGTTAATAATCCCCATTTCAAGTGTTAGAAATGCAGCCCAATGTGAATTAATTTATCCTGCAATAATTGTTCAATTGATTTATGTTCCCTTTATGGCAAACCTTTTAACAAGTAAATACATTTTTACACACTACATTGAGATATTTGAAATTTTATTTGAATATGAGTTTTATATTAAAATATGAAACAAAAATAAGTAATTCATGCAATTTTATCATCATGCTCATAATAGTTTTACCCAATTTGTTATTATGAAGCCTAAGGGGGTCTTGATACACTCTGATGATAAAAGGTCAAAATTTCAACAACAAAATTGAGTAAATTATTGGTGCAATGGGACAAGGGTTACTTCGTTGTTGATAATAATAATATGTGTGAATTACGATTTTGTAAATACGGATATTTATTTGATGACCTGTAAGAAAAAGAATTTTGAATGATATGAGAGACAAATCACAATATTATGTTCCCCTAACAAAAAAAAAAAGCAAGTTTTTCATCATTCTGCCTATCAAAAAATATTTTACCCTAAATTTCCATTCGATAGACTTCCATTTTTCAATGTTGCGCTCCTTGTCACTGTCCAAATTCTAAAAACAGTATCAATATACTACTTAGTTATATTAATTCTCTTTTAAATTAATTATGGCAATTTGGAATAAAATATTAATGAGACAACTAAAAAAAAAATTGACCTAGAAAAATTTGCAATATACAAATAGAAAGCGAAATAATAAATTCAAAACCCCACCCACAAATAGAAAGAAAAAATAAAACCAGTTTTAATTTAAATGGCAATGACCTAACAAGAAAATCTATAGTTACCTTGTCTTTTTTGTCTTGTCTGGCATATGGAAAACAAGGAATGACGGCTGTTACTCTACTGGCAGAAGCTATTTTGCAGGCATTGATCATGATGAGCAGTTCCATCAGGTTGTCGTTCACTTCTCCAGAACCGGATTGGACTATGTAGACGTCCTCTCCTCGAACAGATTCTCCAATTTCCACACTACAAAAATCATTGAGTTTTATTATTAATGCAGCTACAAATTTCAATCTAACACATTTTGTTTTATAACTTTGTTAATTTCAATCTGATCTTAACTAAATTAGACTTATATTGAGGCTAATTAAATCTATAGTCAGTCCATAAATTCAAGGTAAACAAGCAGGATGAAATTTATTTATTTTTTTCATGCAGCTTTTAACAGCTTCACACAGTGGAAAAATATAATAACACCCCATAAAATCGTCTACGTAATATTGTTTTTCTCATTTTCCTTCTCAATTCCAGGTTCTTGAATTTAAGAGAAGAGAGAAGAAAACTAAGAGAATTCTAAAATTCATGAATTTGGAATTCAAAAAAAGTTTGAACTAAAAAATTGATAATTAAATCAAACTAAGAAAAAATCTGTTACTGGAAGGACAAGTGCAAAAATTTATGAGCTCTGTTCCAAAAGACATGAGAGCCATTCCAGAACCAGTAATTTCCATTTTCACATAGAATCAGGCTCCAAATCTCAAAATAATTTAGTGTACGGAGTTTGGGGGATCCCAAAGGATCATTAGGACACAAAATCTCAACAAAAAACATCTCGAAATTTCATCGTTTTAGTAAGAAGGTAGCCTTATGAATTAGATTTTGGAAAACTTTTTTCTATTAAAGATAAAATGCTGAAATTTTGAGTGATTCTTATCTCCATTTCAACCATAATCTCGGGTACAAATGGTACTGGAAGTTATATGCAGTACCAGTATATAGCGTTTAGGGTACCTGAAAAGACTTGCAAATAACTTTTAGGGTGATTTAAGATGGTAAAACCGAGAGCTGGTTAACTGGTTAATATCCGTGTACAAGTTGGTCGAAATCCCAGAAAATCTCATAAGATCTACTCAAAATCCCTGAAAATCTTTGAAATCCTTAAAAATTTAACAAAATCCCACAAAATCTCTTGAAATTGCATAAAATCCTACAAAATTTCATTAAAACCAAAAAAATCCTGCAAAATCTCATAAAATCATTAATATTCTTAAAAAATATTTCCTTTGAAATTCCCAAAAATACTTTGGAACCCCCAAAAATCTGTTAAAGTCTTTCAGAATTTCATAATTTATTGGAATTTCGGTAGAATAATTATGTTATTCTGAAAAAGGAATTACATGTGAAATTTTTGCGGAGTTTCCATAGAATTCACATTACATTTTAATTTCTCTCGAATTACATGAAATTTCGAGAAATTACATGAAATTTCAGTGGAATTTCAATCGAATTATTTGAAATCCTGAATTAATGAACGGAATTCTAAACAATTACATGGAATTACACCGAAAATTCAGTGCTCGTTAAATTACATAAAGAATTTTAAAAACGTTTCAAAAAATTACATGAATTCCGAGGAATTTTCGTCGAATTATATGGAGCTCCGATGCAATTGCATGGGATTCCAAGGAATTGTCAGAGAATTACATGATATTATCATTTAAGTGGAATTTTGTACAACTCTTATCGTTTCATAAGGAATTCCAGTGAAATTCCGAAAAATCCTAATTAAAAATATGAAGTTTTATTTTTATTCGAAGGATTTCCCAGTTAAAAACATGGCATTTTAGTGAAATTGAAATTCCGAAAATTTCCTTTCGAATTTCTGAATTTTAGTAAAATTAGAGAAAATTTCACAAGTGGAATTCTGAAGAATTTCGGTGAAATTTGGAAAAATTCCCATGTAATGATATGAAATTTCAATATATTTCGGAGGAATTTCGGTAAATTCTCAAGAAATTACTTGAAGTTTCATTAATATTCCTAGGAATTCCTGACTATTGAAAGAATATTTCAGTGAAATTCCGAAAAATTCTTATGGAAATAAATGAAATTTTGAACAAAAAATTGAAGTTTTATTGGAATTTCGAGAAATTTTCGACTAAAAACCTGGAATTTCAGTGAAATAAGTGAAATTCCGAGGAATTTCCAAGAAATTACAGGAAATGTTAGTGAAATTCCGAAAAATTTTATGAAAATTTTGTGGAATTCCAGGATGTCTTAGTGGTGAAGTTTTGGGGATTTCAGTAGTTTTAAAAAAATTACGGGATTTTTATAGAATTTTGGAGAATTTTAGTGGTATTTCGGAAAAAAAAAAATTTATGAAATATTCGTAGAATTTCCATCAAATTATATATAATTTCATTTTGTGTCGACTTACATAAAATTTTGATGAAATGTCAAGTAAAATTCCAAGGAATTCTTGTCGAATTACATACATGGAATTCCTTGAAATCTTATTGTGGAATTCCAGTGAAATAACATTGAATCCGAAGAATTCCCTTGGAAAAAAACAGAATTTCCGTGGAATTTCCATGGAACCACGAAACATTTTGGCGGAATTCCGAAGAATTGAATTAAATTTTAGTGAAATTTTGAGTAATTTCTGTCGAATTACATAAAATTTTGGTGGAATTCCGAGAAATTTCATGAGATCTTGTACTCTAATTCCGAGGAATTTTTGTACAAGAATTCCATTGAATTTTATGGGGAATTTCATGGAATCTTATGGTGAAATTCGAAAAAGTATTATAAAATCTTATAGTAAAATGTCTAGAAATTTCCCGTTTTCCATTCATTTTGAAAATCTAAAATCTTCTGAACTCCTGTATAATTGTGTAAAGATTTTCAAAATTTCCAAAATCCTACAAAATCAATTAAGATTTAAAATATGTGTTCAATATTTTATAGAGTTAACTAAACCTCAAAGCGGTTGATTGGTGAAAGTGTACAAGTCCAGAAAAACTTGTAAGATATATTTAAAATCCCTGAAAATCTTTTAAAATTCAACAAAACCTCACAAAATCCCTTAAAAATCACTTGAAATCGCATAAATATAAAATTATAAAATTCCTTCAACATTTCCAAAAATCCTTTGGGATCCCCAAAAATCCGTTAAAATCTCCAGAAATCCTTTAGGATCTCTAAAAACCCGAGTAAAAACCCTACTAACTTCCCTAAAACGAATGCTCCAAAATCACCTAAAATCTTTTAAAAATCTGTGTATTTCAAGCAGTTAACCACTTCTCGGGTAAAAATAATCATTGCGATTCATCAAAAAAAGGGTTTTTTGAAAATATGGACATTTCCACCCTAGTCTCAAATACAAATGGTACTGGAAGTTATATTGCAGTATAATTGCGATTTATCGAAAAAAAGGTTTTTGTGAAAATATGGACATTTTCACCCTAGTCTCGGTTACAAATGGTACTGGAAGTTATAGACAGTACTAATATACACAGTTTAGGGAACCTCATTTGACTTGCAAATAACTTTGAGGGGGTGTTTAAGGGGGTGAGACTTATAATTGCGATTCATCGAAAAAATGGTTATTGTGAAACATTACCTACAAAATATATTAAAAATGAAATTATTGAAAATAAAATGAAAAGTATATTATAAATAAAAAAAATTTAAGATGGATTATCCCATTTCTTTAATTCCACTGTTTTTGCAGAAATTACAAATTAGTCACAGCAAATTTCATTGGTTGAAAACAGTCAGAAAACTAGTATCAACCAATGAAATTCAAACTGACTGGTTTGTGATTTTTGCAGAAACAGACTTATCTCGAATATTATTCTTTGTAGATACTTGCGACGATACTCCTTAATTAGACAGAATTAGAAATAAACATCTACTTTCATGTCTAGGTGCAGAATAATAACAATACCATGTGATAGTGAAGTAACTTTTATTGTAGTCTATACCTAAGTGCAATGTATTGTAAATTAACAAATTCCAGTAATATAATAATTATATAATATATTTATAATTATGGTAATTGGAATGGTATATGGTATGGTACGGAATATATAATTTGAACTCTGAATAATGAATAATTGTCTTAATTTCAAATTATTAAAATTTGTGAATAAACTGTCAATTTAGGCTTGTGAATAAATTGGAATTCAGGGTAAATGAAAGGTATCAATTTAAAGCAGCTTTTAAAGGGCTATTTGACAACATCTCACTCATCAACAAAAGCCAAATAGGTAGCTCATTGAACAAAGCATTCTTTAATTTGAATAAATCCTTATCAAAATAAATCAACAAACAAGCAAAACAGCTGATAACAAATAAAAGTCACCAGGAGATAAATCTTGATAAACAACGTGCCAAAAGCTATTATTTAACAATTTAAATTGATAAAATGTGACGCTAACAACCACGTTGTTTCGTCAAATATAAATGAAAAAACACACTCACCATGTTTCCAAATTGGAAAACTTCTTCGTGACCACCTTGCCGATATCGATTCCCAATCGGTCGACGATCCTCTGTGCCAAATCTGGATGGCTGGAGCCCGAAAACACCTTGATATTGGGCATCCTCGCTAATATCAAACTTGTTTCTCTTACAGATTCCTTCTTGATATCTTCCGGATGGACTTGTAACTTTTGCTCTATACGATTCGCTCGGCACGGTTGATGAGAAGCGCCGGGCATAACTACAAATTTGTTGGTTAATCTACGACCAATCCGAAGATTGGTAGTAGAAGGTGATCGACGTCACAGAATAAGGTCAGTTTTAGTAGTTTTCGAGTATGAGGAGATAGATAAAGGAATGCAAAAATTGTTTTAATTTGGTTATTCATTTTTATTTTGATGATTGGGGGCTTATAAGTTATAATATATAGATTTTAAGATTTCAATATCAATCTTAATACGCTTCTAGGTAGTTTAATATACCAAAGAAACTTGAAAAAAATAATTACACTCTTCAAGGTTCCATAGTCAAATGTAGTATGATGTTTAGGCAATTTCTAAAATTTTTCTGCTGGACAAAAATTAAATTGCCGTTTACGCAAATGAATCTAATCTAATAGTTGCTAATTCAAAAACAATAATTAATAAACAAATCCCTAATTAAGTAATAAATTACAAAACAGTTTGCAGCGGCAAAAATTCAAAAAATTTAGGTTGGCAACACGATTTTTTGACATCCGTCTTTTACAAAATTCTAATTTGACAGTTCCTTTTGCTTTCACAAAAAAAAAACACTTTTCAAAGCGAAAAAATTCAAGAAAAAATTAAATTAATAAGTGAAGAAAAACCAGCTAAAAAATCCATTAAATAGAGCCAAACTATCGTCTTAACCCGACTGTGATGCTCCATTATTCGATATAAAAGTACAAAATAAATTTTTAAAATAATGGCAAATATCGCTGCACAGAGGATCAAACGGGAATTCAAAGAGGTTATTAGAAGCGAGGAGGTATGCATATTTTTTTTTTTCAAGGGTTTTTGGGTCCTATATCATACCTTTTTGGTTATCCATTGGTTTTAGGACAATAAATTTGGGCTCAATTCTCGTCAATTGAATTGTTATTTTGTGAATTAACAGCATTCAATTTGTTTTTGTTGTAGGTGAAAAACTCTCAGGGGGTATATTTGGATTCAAATCACACAAAAATTTGGTTATTTGGAGTTATCAAAAAAATTTAATGAATTGTCAAATGAAATGTTTGTTTTTTTTTTTTGTGAATTCCTTAACTTTTTGGAAAGTTCTGTTATTGAATTATGTCACAATATTTCATATTGTATTTCATTTCCCAGAGTTGTGTTTCACTCCTTGATAATGAAGTGCAGATTTGTTGACATTAAATCAACAATAAGCCAAAGGGTGAACAGATACCCAAATGTTGATAACTCCCTGTCAAAAAAGGCAATTTCTCAAGTGTTGGAAAGACTTGTTCCAAGTCTTTGGATAATAACATGATCATGGATAAATAATCAGAAGAGCAAACCGGTTTGGTCCATTCAATTTTGAAAATTTGTCGTGATCACCCTGAATCATATTGGAACAAAAATTAGTACATTTGGGTTTTAGGCCATTCTAAACAAGAATCTGCTATCAGATTTTTTCTAAAAAAATCCCTAATAGTACTTATTGAAATTTGAGCCTATAAATGTCGACACCCTGTACACCAGTACAGCCACAGAAATAAAATTATGAGCCAAATAAGTGCCAAATTCGAGTAGATTTAAGACAAAAAAAGAAAGAATTGAATCGGTTGAAAAATAAAAATTTTAGAAGGGTGGTCAGTCCTTAAGTGGGACACACCTGTATATTAAAACCTATGACGCCATATACGAGTAAATGTTATTTTTTTTTACATAAAGAAACCTTAAAAATCTCTTCTGTACTTTCTCTATTAGATCTATACCTACTGTTGTTGTTTTTTTTAATTATTTATTTCAGACTTCAAATCAGTTACATATAACTGGCATCGAAGCCTTAAAAAAATAATTAACATTTAAATATTAACAATAATATATAATATTCTTAAATACTGCTCTTTACATATTTCTTAAGGTTATGGCTCACTGTCTTTGGTGTATTTTCTAAGAGGTGTTCAGGTACTGCATTAAATTCTTGCACACTTCTATACACTGGGGAGTCTTGTCATTTGTTTGTTCTTAGAAAATTATTACACACTGTTTCTTTATTTCTCACATTGTATATATGGAAGTCTTTATTTTGTTTTAGGTCAACTCTTGTTTTTAGTAAATTATTTTGAATTTTATAAATTAGTTTTATTTGTTCTAGGTTTTTTAGTTCTTTCACTTTTAGAAATGGAAGTTTTTTGTACAGAGTGTCACTAGGGGTGTAGTAGTTCATGGAGAAGATCACTTTGATTGACTTAATTTGTAGTCTCTGTAACCTATTTAGGAGGTCAACACTAGCACTGCCCCAGCACGCTATTAAATAGCGTAGGTGAGGTTCAACAAAGCTGTTATACAATAAGTGTGTTGTTTTTGTGCTTAGTTGGTGGTTACACCTTCTTATTACACCTATAAATGGAGTGATTTCTTGTATGACTTTTTCCATCTGTCTCTGCCAAGTTAATTTATCTGATATCACTAGTCTCAAGTATCTGTACTCTTGCACTCTTTTAAGCTCTAATTGATTTAGCCTTATAGTTGGATCGCACTGTCTCTTGCCTTTTTGATGGATCAACATATACACTGTTTTCTTCAACAGTTAATTTGTTATAGCATAACCAATCTTATAGGACGGCGGCGAAGTGCGTAAAAGCCTTCGTTTTAAGGAGCAACCCGGTATTGAGGTATAATTTATTGAGACTAGTATCAGATGATTCTGCATATTTTTCTGCATATGAAATCGAAATGGACGACTTTTTTCATTGGTCGAGAGCCAAGTTAGGAGCAAAAAACTAAAAATATACGGAAACTAAAATTTCCAACTTTAACCTCGTATAACTTCTAAACCGCTTAAGGTAATAGAATGATTTTTCTTCTAGATTCTAGACAAAAATATTCTCTTTAATATGGTGTATATATTATTTGAAACATATCAAAGTAGAGCTCAAAAAATCAGTTATTTCGTAGACACGGCGAGATTTAATAAAATATATGTTTGCTTTAACCTGCGATAACTCCTTTATATATTGGAGTATTCAATTAATTTTTTGCTCAAAAACTGGCAAATTTAATTGGCTTTCTTTTGACTACATTATATACCGACCTATTTTCAATAATAAACTCAATAGAGCCGTTTAAACACAACAAAGCGCGGTCTGGCGGCAGAAATTGTGTGGCTCCCCTTTCATTCCCGCTGCCTGCTGACAACCACGAGCATGAATTAAAAAACTATGTGCGACGCCGTAGAATGCATGACAGTCAATTTTCCTTGTCTATGGAACTTTGTGTTCTATTTATGAAAAGTTTAGTTTATCGGGTTCTGCTTGAATAAGGAGTTTGCACAGGTAAGATGATAATTACAGGTATTTTTTCGATCTGAACAAACTCAACAAACTAATGTAATCACATCAGGTTTGTTAATGAGCGTCAAAAAAACAATTCGAGCCAATGAAATCGTAGTAAAAACAGATGACAGTTGTTTCAAACAAACCTCAAGTGACTTCGATCAGTTTGTTCAGATCGAAAGAATACCTGGATTATCAGTAAGTATAGTCTATTTCATCGCAGTTGATAGCTCAAATCGAGGTTTAGGACCATAAAGTCATTGTGAACCTAATGGTTTACAATGGTTCTAAAATGACGTCATGGTCCTAAACTCGTATTTGAACTATCAACTGCAATGAAATAAACTATAGTAACATGAAAAGTTAACTGAAAATTATCGATAATTTTTGGGAAACTTGTAAGTACGAACGCACTTAAGTTAAAAAAGAGAATGAGTGCACGTCAAAACTAAAAATTAATTAAATAGGTAGGTGGTGGTTCTCTTGAGCCGATAATAATAGTTATCGGTACCTATCTAATAATTATCCCGTTATCTCAAATGTTATTGGTCTGTCAGGATCTATCGCTCGTTTAATTAATTGTTATATTCAACAGATGAATGAAAGTATCCCTCTTTTACGCTTTACGCAGCTACTACTTCAAATTTTTTTCATTATGTAGACGGACTAACATTGACGTCATGGATTTTGTTTGTGTTTTTTGTTGCAATATATTTACGGCGCCGGCGGAATCACCTTGTGTTAAAAAGCCAACAAAATAGTGCTTCGCGACCATTTTTTCTGCAGCAGATAAAAGAAAAGATGCTATTTCTTTACAGATATTGTCACGAAGAAAAGAAAGAAACGATAATCCCGAAAGATTCAGATACACTGTCATATTTTGCATCCTATATTATTTGCTGTTTTCCACGTATTATTTAGTTGTGTTTTTTGACATTGATTATCACCATTTAAAGAAATAAAAATTATGTGACGCCCATGTCTTTTATTTGTTTAATGTATGCCGACTAGATGTTTTTTTAGTGTTTCAGTTCGGATTAAAAATACTATACCTACCTACGTAAGCGTAAAACAGGGATAATTTCAATTTCATTCATGTGTTGAATATAACAATTAATTGAACGAGTGGTAGAGTGGTAGATCCTGACTTAGACCAATCACACTTAAAATTACGGGGTTTTGGCGTGCACCCGTTGTCTTTTTTAACTTAAGTGCGTTCGTACTTAAAGTTTCCCAAAAATTATCGATAATTTTCAGTTAGCTTTTTATGTTACTACTTCCTGATCATATGAGAACCCGATAAACTAGACTTTTCATAAATAGAGCACAAAGTTCCATAAACAAGGAAAATTGACTGTCATGCAGTCTAGGCGTCGCACGTAGTGTTTTAATGTTTTAATTCATACCTGGGGTTGTCAGCGGACAGCGGGAATGAGAGGGGAGCCGCACAACTTCTGCCGCCAGACCGCGCTTTGTTGTGTTTAAACGGCTCTATTGAGTTTATTATTGAAAATAAGTCGGTATATAATTGAGTCAAAAGAAAGCCAATTAAATTTGCTAGTTTTTGAGCAAAAAATTAATTGAATACTCCAATATATAAAGGAGTTATCGCAGGTTAAAGCAAACATATATTTTATTCAATCGCGCCGTGTCTACGAAATAACTGATTTTTTGAGCTTTATTTTAATATGTTTCAAATAATATATACACCATATCAAAGAGAATATTTTTGTCTAGAATCTAGGAGAAAAATCATTCTATTACCTTAAGCGGTTTAGAAATTATACGAGGTTAAAGTTGGAAATTTTAGTTTCCGTATATTTTTAGTTTTTTGCTCCTAACTTGGCTCTCGACCAATGAAAAAAGTCGTCCATTTCAATTTCATATGCAGAAAAATATGCTGAATCATCTGATACTAGTCTCAATAAATTATACCTCAATACCGGGTTTTTGAACGCAAACGCTTCTCCGCCGACGGCCTATTAGTATAGTCCAAGATCATCATTAATGATTTCTTCAATTTCACATTTATTTTTTCCAGAGTACATTAGCACAGTGTCAACAGCAAACATATAGTCAGATTTCAGCCCCACATGCTTTAAACTGTACACATATAAAAAGTACTGAAGCGGTCCCGGTACTGACCCCTGTGCGACCCCCACTTCTACAATTTTTTCTTCACTACTTTCACCATTTACAACTGTATAGTGTTTTCTTCCAGTTGAATTTGTTTTCAGGAGTTTATAGCATGTTCCTGTAAATCCCATTTTATAGAGCTTTTGGAGCAGTAGATCAACGTCAACTGTGTCAAAGGCTTTCTTCAAGTCAATGAACACTGCCACAACATATTGATTTTTGTCTATTTTACTTGATATATGTTCCAACAAATCAACTGTGGCTCCCAGGGTACTGCTGTTTTTCTGAAAACCGTATTGCCTTTCATCAAACTGAAAATTTGCTGCAACAAAGTTGTTTATTCTTATTTTTATTATCTTCTCTATTATTTTGGTGAAAATACTTAGTAGGGATATGGGTCTGTAGTTGCTTACGTCATTCTGGGCTCCTTTTTTGTATATCGGCACGATTTTTGCTGTTTTTAATTCTTCTGGATATATTCCACTTTCCAATGTTTTGTTTATGAGTTCAACAATTTTTGGTCCAATGGTGTCAAAAACTAGAGTTAAGTCATTTTTTTACTATGTTGTCTTTGCCAGGTGCAGAGTAATTTTTTAGTTCGTTTAGTGTGTTCTTTACTTCTTCAAGATTGGTTGTCTTCAGGGTTAGTTTTTTCATTATTTCTTCTACCTCAAATTTTTTACTAGCATTTGGTTGTATCTGTGAGGCTAGGGTTTGTCCTATGCTTGCAAAATGGTTATTAAACTCTTCAGCCATTTCAAAGTTATTCTCTGTCTCTGCTCAATCCCTTCTTGTTATTTTTGTAATGGTTTTCTGCTTATTGACATTTCTGTTACACAGGTAATTTAGGACTTTCCATGTTTTCTTCGGATCACTTTCTGCTTCTTGAAATTTCCTTCCAGCATACTGTCTTTGTAATGTTTTCCGAAGATTATTAGTGCATTTTTGGCTCTCTTAAATTCTTTTGTGGTATATTCGTTTTTTACTCTTTTCATCCTAACATAAAGTTTATCTTTTTCTTGGAGTTTTTTTAATAAACTCTTTTGTGACCCAGTATTTTTGGTTTCTTATTTTCAGTGTTCGTTGTGTTGTACAGGTATCCTTAGTATCATTTATTACACTGGTCAGTTCTCCAAAGGTATTTATGATTCTTTTTGTAAATTCTTCTTTAGAGCAAATTTTCCAATGATCCGTTTCCAGGTAAGTTTTTTTTATTAAGTATTTGTTTGGTGTTTTGAAATCTGACTTCCTTCACCTGAATAAAAATTACTTTGTGGTCCGAAATGTCATTGTCTTCCATCTTCAGGCTGCACAACAAATTCTTGTTTGTTGTGACATGATCCAGAATTGATGCTGAATGTCCAGTGGTTCTTGTTGCATTTTGTTGAGTTATTATGTTTTGTAGTTGGAATCTATTAATTTCTATTATGTTTTTATATGTTTTAACTGCTTGCGAGTCTTTCAGCAGATCCAGATTCATGTCACCTATCAGGATGGTAGGGTTTCTTTGCTGTTCCAGCAATTTATCTAATTCTGATGTAAATATTTCATGATTGTTTTTTGGTACTCTGTATACTGCATAGACAGTAAAATTTTGTATGGGTAGGTAAACAGACACTATGTTGCAGTCGAGGTTGCAGTCGTCAATTTTTGGTATACATTGCTCGTTCTGTATCTATATAACTCAACTCATTCCTTATATAAATGCTTGTCCCTCCTCCTCAAGTATTTCTGGAATCATGTACTTACTGATTTGAATCATCTGCTTGAAACTAGAATTTTTCCACTCAAGGTCATGGATTGTGTATTTGTTATACTCAAAGTTTACATAGGATTTATCATTTACTATTTCCAGGATATTATTTTTATTGAGTAGGTACCATGTTGCCAAACAGGAAATATCAAGGGGTCAACCACTATGCTATGCTTAAAAATGTTCAATGATTTCCATATTTGGCAATAACTGATCAATGAATCTCATGTATTCCCATCCCTAGAATTGCGACTGATTGCCAATGATTTTCAGTTATTTTTGTACGATTACCAGGTGATTTCCATTTTTTCTGGGGATCCCTATATCATTCCCAATTGATTACCTGATTTTCTACAATCATTCAGCTGATTTTACTACGAAAACGATGTCTAATTGTTAAGCTGCGCATTGATATGACCAAAATAAACAGTTTTTTCTCTTTTAAAAACATGTTTCCACTGAAAAATTGGCAACTTCTGTATTTACACAACATTCCAAAAGTTAGCAACTTTTATTTTCATGGTTGTTCACAGCCACACCGATTTTGTTGTAGGTTTAAATATACTCCTGGACAAAATTATCGCACCACTGCTTATGATGCTTATGTGCAGTGGTGGTGCGATAATTTTGTCCAGGAGTATAGTTGTTGAGCCCTAGATACGATTACGTGTCTACACTGCATAATACGGATCTAAAATAATGGACGTTTCTTGGATTTCACTAGGACTTTCATCTGAATCAGAGACATCTACAGTTAGAGTTTCACTCGACAAATTTATTCCTGATTCAGATTCAGATGTGCTATCGTCTCTGTTTCTCTCTCTGCATAGTATTTATTCTACTTTCCCTTTTCAAGTTTTTATTGCCTTGGATTTCCAACTTTTTCTCTTGTTTTTTTTTTAGGGATATTTCCATAACTCTTAATACTCGATCGACAAACGTCCCTGCTTCTCTGAAGAACCAAGTTAAAGTTGAGCCCTGAATAATCTCTCAATTGAAGCCAATCGGAATTGCTAAACCTTGAAGTGTGAAGAAATTCTGTGTCTACATGTTTTCATTTTTATGCTCTACAACATTGTCATACTTTAGGTCTGTTCTCTACAACTAGTCAGAGCGAATTTTATTGGTTGAAAATAATCGGAAAGATTTGCACCAATCACAAACGCTCTGACTGGTTTGTGATTTCTGTGAGAACAGACCTAATCTTCATCTCGTTCTTCTTCTTCAAGTTCTAAATTCTTTGTAGTCTCAGGTTCAGTTATTAGCTCAGTTATTGGGAAACTCGGGATAACAAATTTATTTCAAATTGTCTAGCACTCTGTTGCCTAAAACTTAGTCTTAAAGGCAAATACACAACTGACCGGTACGCTGTATCTTTAAAATATATGATATGCGGTTTCTGTGTTAGAATAAGATGATATTCCCAGCGATTATCACATGATTCTCAGCGATTGCCAATAGATTCCTATGTTATTCCAATGGAGTCCTAGGAGATTCTTAGCGATTCCTAAGTTATCCCAGGGACTCCCAAGTAATGTTTATGTATTCCTGATTATTTACTGTGATGTGATTTCCAAAAAAATGCACAAAATTTAAGAAGCTCACTATAGAGATCTATAGATACTATAGAGACTATAGAGATATTATTGCGCAATTGAATAAAATATGTTCTAGATTATACTAACTCAAAGTAACCCAAACTTACCAATACTAACCCAAAGTATCGCAAACCTACCAATACTAGCACAATCTTACCAATACTAACTCAAAGTAACCCAAACTTATCAATACTAACCCAAAGTATCCCAAACTTACCAATGCTAACGCGAACTCAACAATACTAACTCAAAGTAACCGAAACTCACCAATACTAACCCAAAGTATCCCAAACTTATCAATACTAACCCAAACTCACCAATACTAACTTAAAGTAACCCAAAGTTACCAATACTAACCCAAAGTAACTCAAACTTACCAATACTAATCCAAAGTATCCCAAACTTACCAATACTCAATACTAACCCAAACTCACCAATACTAACTTAAAGTAACCCAAAGTTACCAATACTAACCCAAAGTAACTCAAACTTACCAATACTAATCCAAAGTATCCCAAACTTACCAATACTAATCCAAAGTATCTCAAACTAGAATAATTGACATCTCCTACTTATGCCGATTTTGAAAACTTATTCTCCACACAAAAAAGTAAGCACATTCATTTTCCAGGTTGCAAAATGTGCCATTAAACTAGACCTCGTCGATAACAACTACACAGAACTAAGAGGTGAAATTGCTGGCCCACCCGACACAGCCTACGAAGGAGGCAATTTTGTTCTAGAAATCAAAGTACCTGAAACCTACCCTTTCAATCCCCCTAAGGTACACTAAATGAATATATTTTGTATAAGGAAGTTTTAAAAGAAAAGTCTTTAGGTTCGATTTATAACAAAAATTTGGCATCCAAACATTTCTTCAGTGACAGGAGCGATATGTTTGGATATTTTAAAAGATCAATGGTAAATATTGCAACAGTAAAATTTCAACAGTTGCTGATTTTAAGTTTGCTTTAGGGCTGCTGCAATGACTCTCAGAACAGTTTTACTGTCATTACAAGCCCTTCTATCAGCAGCTGAACCAGATGATCCACAAGATGCTGTGGTGGCTAGACAATACAAAGAAAATGTAGAAATGTTCAGATTAACAGCTAGACATTGGACAAATGCTTATGCTGGAGGTGAAATTGATTTAATAATGAACTACCGTAAAAAAAAAAAACTATCTAATTACTTTTAGGGCCTAATGCGAATCCTGAATGTGATGAAAAAATCAAACGCCTGGTTGATATGGGTATTGAAGAGCACCAAGCAAGAGTAGCCCTATCGTCATACAACTGGGATTTAGAAAGGGCCACCGAACAACTGTTTAGTTAGTGAATTTTAGTAATTGTAGAAGAACCCTCCTCCCTACAAGTTGAATGCTATTTTGGGTTAATCTTTTTAAAAAATTTATTATTTGTGCAGTTCAACTGCTTGCTCAGAAAAAGTTGTTTTATATTTTGCATGACGAGTGATTTATTTGAGAGGACAGTTTGCTTATTATTGGTTTGTATTGAACATATTCCAACTAAAGCCATTTTTATTTGCATACATTTTTCAAAATTTACTAGCCCTATTAAAAAAAAGGGGTGGTCCTTATTGAACACAAAAAAGTATTTAGTGATATTGGTTTTTCCCCCAATAATAATTTTGTACATCTAGAAACTCTGTATATAATGATTAAGCGAAGGGAGGTAATGATGAGCTCCAATAAAGACTTTCATCGTTAGTTTAAATTAAATTATATAATTTGACTATTAAAACTTTTTTAGCACTTCAGCCTTGCTGTTGATTAATTTACAAGAAAATTTTAGGCCAAATTCCATGACTGGGTAGACTTTGGGTGAATAATTTGGGCACTAGTAGCTCTGTTCCAACCAACATGAGAACCGTTCTAGAACGGTAATTTCAATTAATTTTTCAAGTAGGATAAACGTACAACTTTTGAAAAATAGGTGGGCTAGTTCTGGAACGGTTCGCATGTCGATTGGGACAGAGCTCTGACTCAAGTATTGATAAGTGAAAAAAGTACAGTTTTTCTCAATAGCAACGGTTAAATGGGATTTTATATGAATTCTGGTAATAGCAATTATACTCATTCATGATTCTGATTTGGTAAATAAATTTGTTAAAATGTAAAAATTTGAATTTTACTTACTTTTTTGGGCTTTTTGTCTGATTACTGTTCTTAGTAATATCTGAAGTGTGATAAGTTCTCTGGAGAAATGGAAAGAGCCCAATTTCCAATGAATGAATGTCGCTAGCTAGCTACAATAAGACCAAGGCTGAAATCTATGTATGGGAATTTTAAAAACCGAGTTAAAAACTAAATTTTTTGTTTCTATAGGCTCTACTTAAGGATATATAATAAATCAGAAAGCTCAAGATGTTACATGAAAAATAGAATTAAATATTTGTTAACTCAAAAATTCAAAGTTAATTTTCTAACGACCTCTAAGAGCATCTTCGAAGCAAATTGGGCACTCGGAGTAGAAAGTCCTGCACCAGCTACTCTATGAAGATATAAATGAAAACGCCTCATGGCTGCCCGCTTAGAAAATTTAATATCCTTTGCTCTGTATACTATTTTAAGCATCAGCATCATACTATTTATATTGTATTACATCAGATTACTGCTTAGATGCTTCTGAGTTCTACTCAGAGTTGGATAATTTTAAAAAATGTTAAAACAATCAGAACAGATAGAGCAAAATCTTTTACTCCGAACTGTCAACTAACTGTCAAAACAAAATCCCACTGACAAAAGGGCAGAAAACAACAGAAAATTTTTGCTTCAGGGTTTTTAAAATAAAGTATTATTTTTTTAAAACAACAAACGGATGTAAAATGATAAACAAATAATTTGCTTTGTTGTAGATAAAGCTCTCACAAGAGCTGATAAAACGCCGGGTAAGCATTTAAATGAATCAGTCATAACAAGCAAGATTGTAACAATAGATGCACTAATATTTTACTTTATTAAGGGATAGTTTTCTACAAGTTATATTTTCCTTAGAAAATGAAAATCCGAAACATATTCACGTCCTTCAGGACGCGAAGGACCCAGCGTCTCACCTCGTCAGATTCCGTAAGTTTTGAAGATTTTGTTAATGAAGTTCCTGTGGATAGGTTTCCTCGATTGAAGGAGTCTTCACTTAACGATTCCTTCGATATTTCACCTATTAAACTATCTGTAAGTGCTTTGTGCATGCATTATAACTAACACAAACATTAGCCCATTGCGAGGGGGTAACAACTGGACAAAAATTTGTACATGTATTGCGGATTACATATGTAATTCCAATGTAATGCCAGTAATTACATCATAATGCCGTGCAACGTAATGCCATAATAATTAACTATACTTACGCTATATAAAATAGTTTTACAGTTTTACGTAAACCGACCAGAAAAACAAACTATTATACATTGTTGATAACAAACATCACACCACATAGTTTGTACATATTTATTAATATTCTATGGATAGTTTTTTTTTCCATGGCTCTGATTATTCATCTTGAGATAAACTTGCTGGTAACTAACTATCTGCAAGATAAATTCACCGTTCTATAATTCTGTTGGTCAACAGATAACTGGTCGAACAATGGGATTACAGACTCCGTTTTTTTCCGTCAGATTGCAAACCGGACAGTTTATCAGGAGGTAAATAAACCGGTTCTAAATCTGAATAAAATGCTTAATAATTCATCTCGTAAATTTATTTTACAAAAACCCAAGCAAAAGCGTTTCAACTTGTTAAATATTGTTTGCCCAGCGGATCTGAGTCTACGGAAGGAATTCGGACGTAAATGTGCCATGTTGTCACGTTTAATTATAAATATTTCTGTGGGAAGAGACCTTAAATCAACTTATTAATACCTTTAATTTGACACATCATTCAGGGTAAAACTTGATAGGTGTCAAAGCTGAGACCGCGGGCCCTTGCCCCAATAAGCTGCCCTGCCACCCTTTTCCGGCAAGTTCTCACGAGGCAGGATCGACTTTTCAGCATTTGCTCTCAGGCAGGAATACTGGTTAATAGATGCACATAATACTATAATATATTGATAATAGTATCGACACATAACTCGATCGGGGTAGGAAAAATGCGGTCGTCTCCCTAACTATTAGCTTTATTTGTTTATTTGCACCAATATGGCACTTTCTACTCCAAATGTATTTTAATCCCTATATCTTTGTTAGTCTGACAGAGACAGACTGATTTTTTGCTGCACCTGGTGCAGCTTGGTGTTACTTTGGTGCAAATAAACAAACAAACCCACACAAAACATCCCCCCTTAGAAATGTAAGTCTTATGAGAGACGTCAGTCTAGTCGTTTCAGCTTTCCCCTCCAATCACTAGAGGCGCTTCAATCAACCTATTAAAGTTTTCTTTTTCCTGCCGGACCGTGCGCCAAGATTTGAAGTTTATTTTGTCATTTCCAGTCGTCAAAATTTAAATTTTGAATTTCTCCCAACATTTAGAATTATCAATTACCTATCAATTAACAATAATTATTATCTCAAAATGTCTTCTCCCAGTTTGTTAATTGAAAAGCATCAGAAATGCTACAGCAGCTATTTCCGGTTTCCAAAAGATGCCGAAAAAATGAAACAATGGCTAGAAAAAGTTCGCAATCCTTTACTAAATAGCCTCAGTGTCGAGAAGGCTTATAATAATTATAGAGCGTGAACAAGACATTTTCCTCGAGAATTTATTGTTGGCGATCCAAAAGCCAGACGAGGACTCACATGGAATGCTGCGCTTTTGCTGTATCTCCCTGAAGGTAAGTTAATACTAGATATATGTGAGAAAGACGTACTTACATTTTCACTTACTCCTCCCCATAGTTCTGATTAACGACAACGTGTTAGAATTCGGGTTTAAAGGAGCATAGGTCAGAAACATTAAAATTAATTTTAATTTTAGCCCCAATTATCAAAAACAGTGAGGAGTCGTTAATTGATAAACCACAATCACCAAAATGGCAAAAAGTGGAGATCGACACAGTTGAAACTCGTCGAAGAGTCCTAAGACGCCTTCAGAAATTAGTTTCGCAACTATGATTGACATAGGTAGGTAAACATAATAACTCTGTTCCAACACGTCAAAAAATCGTCCCATGAACGGTTTCGAAACCACTCAGTATAACAATTTTAGTTTCTGCGCAGAATCGTGACGGTACATTGTACGGTTTTCTGCTGTGTTGGAACAAAGCTAATATTATTCATTTCTTTTTTTTAAATGTTTATTCCTTTATCAGGAGACACAATAATTAAAATATTCCTAGTTACATACAGGTACACCATATTCTAATATGCATGTATCCAAACTTTTTTGGTAGAATCGTTGGTAACGAAATTTGTGTTTTAGATCAACCAGGCCCTTCATGTCGTCAATTTTTATCTACTGAAACTTCTGCAATTCGGGCAGACATTGCTACACCAAGTGGAACCATCACATCTGCAAACATGAAAAAGTCACCAACCCACTTTGTCTCTTAAAACTTTTATTGGTAGGTACCTAACTGTTATTGCTTAATGAATAACCACCCAGTTGGGAGTAGGTGAATTTTAAAACATCCTAACTCAAGTAGGACTACTACTATAAAAGACTACTAATTACTAAAACTTGCAGTCGAATGCTAGAAAAATTAGAAGCTAAATGTGCGAAAAGCTCGTCTCCAATCTTGATCTATTTTTTTTTTGCAGGTCATGAGAGACGATGCCAAATTTTAAAGAACATTAACGTCACTAGGCAAAAAATTCCTATCCCCAAGGGCAAAAATATCTTTATTCCAAAGTTATAGAATCCAGCAATAAGTTAAGAAGAATCAGTAGAAGGTTGTCGTCATTTAAATCCAAAGTTTCTACTGCTGAATAACTTGCATCATAAACCAAATTTCAAAGGCTCGTAGACCACGTCAATCCATTGATATACAGCTTTATTTTAAGCCAAGTCCATACTCAAAACCAAAAGCCTAAAGCTAGATGATTTACATTGGACGAGAAGTTGTTGGCGTTGTCTTTGCTTAAAGCTAGTGGTAAAGGGTATAGACTATTATCAAAAATATTTATTCTATCATCCAGGCGAAATCATTTTCTTGAATGAGCTTTATATTATGTATAACTACATAAACTTTCGACCTAACACATGCGGAAAGTGTATTTTCTGGACTTAAAGGCTTGTTTGAACTCTGCTTTTTGTTGTCATTCGTGCAACTTCCATCACGTGCAGAAACACTTTCCTCACTTGTTAGGTTAACAACGATTTTGGATTGTGAGAAAAGGACCTCTTTTGTCATTTTATTTACGATTTAAGTTTTTCATCAAGCTATTGTTAAATGTACGTCATTACTTCTTGTAACTGTCCTTATTATCTTTAACTTAACTAGCATTACCTACCTATGTATGTATACTTACATGAAAAAAAACTGTTTCGCAATAATTGTAATTAATTCCATATTCTTTAATATTTTCTGTTTCAAACTTTAATAAATATCTAAATTTGTCATCTTAATTTTTAGTCAATTTTACCTTGAAGGCGCTTCAACACTACCGATTTTATGAGTTTCTTCTTTTTGGCACAATTATTTTATGCCAAAAAATGGTAGAAACTTTAAAGTGGTGGTGTTGAATCGCTAGAATCAAACAATGGTGCAAACGATCCACCGGAACAAATAAGATACCGAACGAACCCAAATTGCGTTTTGCATTCGCCAATAAATCCAGAATTACAAAAGCTTACCCCCCCAGTCACTAGAGGCGTTGAAAACTTATAGACAGGTTCTCAACACGGCACTTACCTTTCTAAGGGGGGATGTTTTGTGCAAACCCATTATGATCGTCTCGACCGGCTGCTGCGGTTTATTAGAGCAGGAAGATCAGGCAACTTCACAATTACTGTTCAAAATTGATGATCCCAATATTTTACGCAACACCTTTATCTACAACAGATTCAGAAACTTCATGATAGGTATGAGTCCTGAAAACTATGAAAAATTTGTTGATGAAGCAATGTTCACTTCTAAGAAGAACCAACAACTTTTGGTCCGGTAATTGGACCGACATGGTGATCAAGCAGAATTTGATGATGTCGATCAAAACAGTTGTTTTGTTGTTGTTTGTTTAGGTGGCCTAAATCATGGACGCGGATTTACTAATTCGTATTTGGCCAGATGGATTGCTGGTATGTCAGTTTGTATGCCTGTTACAAAAGCTTTTGGAATGTAAGTCTGTGACTTCAGAACAGCATATAGAATTGAGTCGCTCACGCCAGCAACGTGACAAAACTGATTCGTGAAAAATTCAAGATTGACTAAAATACAACCCTTATAAATGCAAGGAGTTAGGAGTTCATGTCAGTTTTCTCTGGACCAATAGCTAAATCCGATATAAACTGCGATTTAGCAGATAAAATTGAAAGAACATTACTAACAATAATATAGGCAAAGTATTCACAGATATTAAATGCAAGCGAACGGATTAACTCAAAAAATTTTCACAAATGAGCAACATTATTAAAATTAATCAGAATTATGTTAAGGTGTCCCGTATGCAATTATTTAATAGCACTGGCGTAACTAGCCATCTGACCTGGGGGGGAAGCCTAGGGTGGGCCTAGGCTGGGCCTGGCAGAGGCGCCGATTTTTGAAAGTCCTCATGGGTGCAGGATAATATTTTTATTTTGTTTATAGGGCGAGGGGGAAGCTCGCCGCAGGCGCTGGCGGAGGCGAAATTTTTTCATAGTGTATACCGGTCTGGCAAGTGAACATCTTACATGCCAATTTAAATGCAATAGAATGAAACGTCTAGAAGAAGTCTAAGGTTGAATAGAGAACGGAAACGATTTCCCTTGTTCCACCTCCAGCGTTCCAAGCGCTGCATGCTGGAGGTGGAACAGGGGAAATCGTTTTCGTTCTCTATTTAACCTTGGACTCTTCCTATACATTTCATTCTATTGCATTAAAATTGGCCTGTAAGATGGCCTGTATATTTTTCTCTACAAGCGTGCGAAAAGTGCTTCTTTCTGCACGCATTTCAGGCCAGAAAAATATCACTTCTTCGCACTAGTGTGCGGAAAAGTAGAATAATTATGCAATTTAAGGTTACCCTGGTACTTTTATGTCCTAAAATGCCCCATGTCCCGATTATTATCAAAGAATAGAGATGGAGATGGAGAATAGCAACATTAGCAATATAAAGTAATAGAGCATAGAACTGACCACAAATAACAAAAGGACAGAATACTAATACCTTCCTAATCTAAGACTAATACCACTTGTATAATTCTTATACAAAGTTGTGTAAATTTGAATTACATGATACCCACGAGAGCTCCGAGCACCCATGAGAGGTTGCTTATGGAAGCACCTGCCCCAATGCCCCCATGTACTCGGCGCCAGTGGCCTGTTATTGTAACTTATTGGAATCCTTAAAAAAGTAGAACAGTGCATTTACTCAGGTATGCACTGTAAGCTAATTTCAAGGATTAGTTATGAAAACCTGGATTAGATATAGTATGTAATTTTAAGATACAAGAGTGGATGGGATATATGTTAGATCCGTTATTCTATGGATGGGAACGAGATAGAGATGAACATCTTGCGGCTTCCGCCTACATCCGTAACAAAAGAAATTGCCCCCTCTGATATACTAAAAATGGTATTCTGTAATTGCAAGGAAGGGACATGCAACAAGGCATGCTCCTGCAGAAAACTTGGATTAAAATGTTCTGCAAAATCAGTCAATGCTCAGGAATGATTTGCTGTAATTCGTGCATCGTATATGAAAATGATGAAGATGATATTACTTATAATTGAACGTAGGTACCTATTCTTTTGTGAAACTGGAAAAAGTCAGTAATTATTCAAATACATGTTGCTGATATATCCCAACAAATGTAAATTTGCATTTCAAGTAAAAAATATCCCTACACTTTTCCTCATAAACCTGATAGTTTTTGAGATATTTGCAATAAAATGTAAAAAACAAAATGGCGGCCGTTTTTTTTCAACTTGCCAGAGACATAATCCATGGGAGTTTTAGTATGTTGTTTAGAACGTTACTCCTCGTACATTTTTGTTAAGAAATGCTTGTATAGAATTTTTTCAGGTTCAACATCTAACTTGCCTACACTACTATCACAAATTTCAATATTAAACTGTGCGATTATTTTGAACCTCAAGAACTTTCCTTTTCTCCAACCCACACAAAGTTTATGATTTTCAATTTTTTCTAGCTTAAACAGCCGAATTTAGATAAGGCACATTATGCATGAAACTTATCTAGAATTTTGCGTAGAATTCAAAAATGATAATATATAGGGTGTCCCGTTCAAAACAAATATAGGGTGGCTCAAAAAACCGGAATTTTGTTTTTGAGCTGTAACTTTTTTTTGTTGTTGAGCAATTTCCTTTTGTTTTGGTTTTTTTGAAAGATAATTGAACAGGCTAACGAATCAAAGTGAAACTTTTTAAATTTGAGAATAATTCAAAATGGCGCACTTCTTCAAAAATCTAGTTTTGGATATGAAAAGGTGATATTCGACATTACAAAAATGTCAATATTTTAATAAGTTTTCAACCGATTTTTCCTGTCGAGGTCTTAAAATGGTCGCAAAATGATGAACTTGAAGAATTTATCAGAAAAAGCTATACAGGGGGTCACAAAAAAATTCCAGCGCTATCCAAAGTAAGGTAATTTATGCAGAAGTCCGCCATTTAAGATTTTTCTCAATTATTGTTTAAAGTTTAACACACAGGAAAAATCGGTTGAAAACTTAGTGAAATATTGAAATTTTTATAATGTCGAATATCACCTTTTCATATCCAAAACTAGATTTTTGAAGAAGCGCGCCATTTTGAATTATTCTCAAATTTAAAAAGTTTCACTTTGATTCGTTAGCCTGTTCAATTATCTTCCAAACAAGCCAGAATAAAAGGAAATTGGTCCACAACAAAAAAAGTTACAGCTGAAAAATAAAATTCCGGTTTTTTTGAGCCCACCCGAGAGCCCACTCTATACATATTTTACTGCAACTTTTTTTTCATTCACCCTGTATGTGAAAATAATTTTAATTTCATAGATACACAAACTTTCCCAAAATTATTTCAAATATTGAGGCTAGTAATATGAATATGATGTTCCAGTGGATTATTTGGAAAATTTGAGGGTTAATAAAATAATACATGCTCGATTAATGAACCATACCTCAATAAATAAAGTCTGTTTTTTTTTTAAAAGATGAAAGTCAAAATGGCAATATGTTGGCAATACAATGTAAAATTGTCAATGCTTTCAAGTTTTTTATGTGTAAAAGGCTTGTGTTACCAACATAGTTACTGAATTTTTGACTTGGGGAATTATCTGTAAAAAAAACAGACTTTACATTCAATTATTGTATGTACCTACATTAAAACCTTGAAAATCAACCGATAGATCAACCATAACTCCATTAAGCGTAATTCCGCCATATTCATAGGTAATGCCTTGTAATGTCAGTGTAATCCCTGTAATACCGAGTAGTGCCACCGTAATGCCGGTAATTCCACCGTAATTCCAGTAATGCGTCGTAATGCGCAAGTAATGCGTTGTAATGCCATACAATTTGTACATGTATTGCCACCAGTTGTTACCCCCTCGGCCCATTGTATTGTTTATCATTCTAATACCAAAAACTAAAATTTTGTATAATCCCTATTTCAGCCAACTGATTACAAAAGATTCGCACGACAGCCAATTGAAGCCAATCCCTCCCGTCCAAATCTAGCAACAGTTTTGCTCTTCATAGTTCTTTCGGCTGTGTTTCTGATCCTTCCAATCATATATCTACTGAATTGCTTCGATATCATCTACGAGCACCAGAATCTCAAGCACAATCCTATAGTGCAAAACGGCGAACGTTATGAGCCCAGTGAAGAAATTCATAAGTTACTTGAAGATATGACCAAGCATAACAGGCCAGTTAGAGGTTTGCCATTGCCTCCCAGGCCTGATTACGGACAATGCAGGCTTTTAAATAATACTGAAAAGTTTGATTGTTTTCCTGAAAACGGTGCCACTCAAGATGGCTGTGAGGCCAGGGGCTGTTGCTGGATACCTGCTAAAACTAAACCTAGAAGAATAAAAAATGCCCCCCTTGATGTACCTTATTGTTTTTATCCTCCAAATTATGACACTTATAAGTTCCTCAACATATCTGAGACTGCTTTTGGGCTTGTAGCTTTTATTAAAAGGAACTATAGAACAGCTTATCCTAATGATGTTGAAGTAGTCAAGATGATTGTCAAATATGAAACAGAAAACAGGCTTCATGTTAAATTTGTTGATCCAGTCAATTTTAGATATGAACCTGCTTATCCAGAAATACCATTGGTTGATAGAGCTGCTCAAAATTTGAATTATATTTTCGAATTTGACACTTTTAGGGCAGGTTTTAAGGTTGTAAGAAAATCAGACAACACAACTATTTTTGACTCCAATAATTTCCTAGACTTTATTTTTGCTGACCAGTTTTTACAACTAAGCAGCAAATTACCTTCAAAATTGATTTACGGTATTGGAGATCATACTTCCAATTTACTGTTAAACACCCAATGGACTAGATATACTTTATGGAATCATGATATGCCACCTGAAACAAATAAAAACTTATACGGTTCTCATCCTTTTTATTTAAGCATGGAAAATTCTAGTAATACACATGGAGTGTTTTTGCTTAACAGTAATGCAATGGATATTTTACTGCAGCCAACGCCTGCAATAACTTTTCGTACAATAGGAGGAGTTTTGGATTTGTACTTTTTTATGGGCCCTACACCAAGTGAAGTTGTAGCTCAGTATACTGATTTGGTTGGCAAGCCTTATATGCCACCCTATTGGGGCCTTGGGTTCCATCTGTGTAGGTTTGGCTATAAAAGCTTGAATAACACCAAAGAAATATTGGAAAATAATATCAATGCTGGCATATTCATTGACACTCAATGGAACGATTTGGATTATATGAACAATAGTAATGATTTTACTTATGACAGAGAAGCATATGAAGGACTTCCAGGATTCGTTGAAGAGTTGCATAAACGTGGAATGCATTATATTCCTCTAGTGGATCCAGGAGTGAGTGCTGGAGAACTATTAGGCACCTACCCTCCATATGATATTGGAATTAAAATGGATATTTTTGTTAAAAACTCATCTGGTCAACCATTTATTGGTAAAGTCTGGAATAGTCATTCGACTGTTTGGCCAGATTTCACTCACCCAAACACTGTAGACTATTGGACGTTGATGCTTAAGAATTTCCATAAACTAGTCCCATTTGATGGTGCCTGGATTGACATGAATGAGCCTTCAAACTTTCTGTCTGGATCTTTTAATGGATGCCCTAAATCCAACTTGGAAAGCCCACCATATTTGCCTGCAGTCGATGGAGGAGCTTTAAACTACAAAACAATGTGCATGACTGCAAAACATTATGCAGGAATACACTATAATGTGCATAATTTGTATGGGTTGACTGAAGCTATTATTACTAGTTTTGCTTTGGCAGAGATTCGAGGTAAAAGGCCTATGGTTATTTCTAGAGCTACTTTTAGTGGTCACGGACATTATGCTGGGCATTGGAGTGGAGATGTTTACTCCAATTGGAATGATTTAAAAATGAGTATTCCTCATCTGCTTAGTTTTAGTTTGTATGGGGTTCCTTTAATGGGGGCGGATATATGTGGTTTTAATGGCAACTCAACTGCTTCTTTGTGCAACAGATGGCAACAATTGGGCGCTTTTTATCCATTTTCAAGAAACCATAACACTGATGATGGAATTCCTCAGGATCCTGCTTCAATGGGTGAACTTGTGGTGGCTTCTACAAGAAAATCTCTTCAAGTTCGTTATGCATTGTTGCCATATTTGTACACGCTGTTCTTTAGAGCGCATGTTTATGGGGATACAGTTGCCAGGCCTTTATTTTTCGAGTTTTACAAAGATTCTAAAACTTTGGCTATTGATACGCAGTTTTTGTGGGGAGGTGGCTTGATGATTGTACCAGTGCTAGAAGAAGGAGCTACTTCGGTTAATGCGTATTTGCCCCAAGCAATTTGGTACGATTACTACACGAAATATTATATAGAGAGCAAAGGAGAGTATTTTAATTTGACTGCCCCCTTGGACACTATTCCAGTTTTTGTCAGAGGAGGCTATATTTTGCCTCAGCAGGAACCCAAACAGACTACTACTGAGAGTAGGAAGACCAAAATTCAGTTGTTGGTGGCCCCTGATGAAATTGGTGCAGCTTACGGTGAGCTGTTTTGGGATGATGGAGATTCATTGAGTAAGTTGATGGTGAATTGCTAATTTATAACTTACACACACTGGTAAAATTAAAGGAATGGACAAAATTTACGGTTAGGTTGGCATCAATTTTCTCTTGCTCGATTTCTATAAATTTTTCACATATTTTAGCTTGATTCTCCAAGAATATATACATCTGACGTATTACCGTTATTGAATGATTCGTCTTTATATCATATACAGGGATGGAAAGAAAGTCAGTAATTTTCAGAGTTTTTTGAGACATCCTGTAGAGTGTACCACTGGAAATTCAGAACAGTTTTCAACACCAAATTGTAGCCTGATCTTTTCTGAACATTTTCATTTTTTATTCACTCTGATATTTTCAATATTATTGAAAATACAGAATTTCGAAGAAAAGGTGGATATTGACCTTAATTTTCTCTATGTCGACATACAAATTGGATATGAAAATGTGTCGTTTTCCAACTTCAAGTCGTGTGTTCGAATGTTTACTTCAAGTTAAATATTGCTTGCAGTTTTTCCTCTTACCGATCAATTTATTGTGAAAAGAATGCTCACAAATATACAGGGGGATCAGAAAGTCCCTTGCATGGTGGAATGTTATTTATCTATCTAAACTAAACAAATAACAAAAAAAACTTTAACTTGATCCTTTTGTTGCTGTCAAGGTGAAAATTCGTGATTTTACTTGAACAAATAATAATAAATTCATCAATATCCTACCGTTGTAGCGAAGTCTGTTGAGGGGTAAATTGAAAAAGTACCAAGCCTTGGTTAAGTGTGAAGGGAGAGTTTAGTTTAGATAAATAACATTCCACCAAATGGAAATCACGAAAAAGACTTTCTGATCTTCCTGTATATTTGTGAGCATTCTTTTCACAATAAATTGATCGGTAAGAGGTAAAACTGCGAACAATATTCAACTTGAAATGAATATTCACACACGACGAAGTTGGGAAGCGACACATTTTCATATCCAATTCGTATGTCGACGCAGAGAAAATTAAGGTCAATATACAACTTTTCTTCAAAACCCTGTATTCTCAATAATATTGAAAATATGAGAGTGAATAAAAAATGAAAATGTTCGAAAAACATCAAGCTACAATTTGGTGTTGAAAACTGGTATGAATTTCCAGTGGTTCACTCCACAGGGTGTCTTAAAAAAATTACTGACTTTCTTTCCATCCCTGTATATGATATAAAGACGAATCATTCAATAATGGTAATACGTCAGATGTATTCCTGAAGAATCAAGCTACAATCTGGGAAAAAATCATCGAAATCGAGCAGAGGATTCAAGAGAAAATTGATTTCAAACAGTGTAAATTTTGTGTTCCCCTAATTTTGCCGGTGTGTGTATTTGATAGTGGAACTCAGATTTTAAAAGATTTGGGAGAATCAATCTGATTGTTATATAATCTCTGAGAGAGTATCTTCAAATGAACCTCTTGATTGAAGTATCACTCCTAAGAGTAACAATTCTTGAAGTTTTAAATTTCTGTTGTTATTCATTAGTGAAATAACTATGGACTCATTCGATTTGATTTAGCTCTATCCTCCATCTATCATCTTACAGATACAGTTGAAGAAAAACGTTATTCATTCATTGACTTCAACCTGGAAAATGGCACTTTACGCACTGAAACTATCAACTGGGCCGAAGAATATCCTCCAAATTTGGGCTCAATCACAGTCTTAGGCATTCAGAAACCTGTCACTCAAGTGATAGTGAACACTGAGTCGCTTGCCTTCAAATTCGATACTGTTCACAAGGTAAAGATGTTTTAAAGTTTGCAAATATATTTTTAATGATTCTTGTTTTTCCAGTATCTAGTCATTGACAATCTGAATATTAGCTTCGAGAAGCAGATAGTGGTTTCCTGGAAGTAAAAATCAAAACAACGAGTAATTGTTACCCTCCGATATTTTAGCCTTGGTGTGAGTACACTTTCTTAGGTAGATAAAGTTAAGTTTACCAAAGAACTACAAACTAAGGAATACGTGTAATTGTATGCTTTGAAACAATCAACTATAGAAGGCCTCTTAAAGCTTTAGATAATCAACTATTCAGGATTTGTGCATGTATTTCAATTGGATTTTTTGTTGTTGGAACTTTTTTATTTTAGTTTCAAATTTTGTACTTAATTTCCCTATAACTGTCCAACAACAGTGTCTCTATAATAAAGGCTGTATTTTAGGTTTTAACATTAAATTTATGTGCCAAACTTATGTTACTTTTTGATCATATTGCTTGTCAAAATATGAAAAAACTAATAATACGAGATCTTGAATTTTTCCTATCAACAGTCGGAAATAAAACAATTAAGTATCGAACAAACTCATAGGTATTTACAATACGAGATTCATATTCTATCTGCACAAAGAAACATCCACCAGGGTCCTTATTCTTGAAACAGGGAAGCAACGTTCCCAGGAGAACGAGTGTTCCGTCTTTCTCAATGATATGCAAATGATAATATAGGTAACAAAGACGGAAGACTCGTTATCTTGGGAATGTGGCTCCCCTGATTCAAGAATAAGGACCCAGGATGTTTATACTATTTCCATATAAAAAGTGTTTTTGCCCGATGACGAATAAATGTCTTGAATAATCACTGATCGGTTCGAAATCCTATATCGATACCTGGGTCGGACTGCATTTGTAGAGTAGAAATTCAATTGGAGAACCATGGAAATCCCATTAGGACTATAGAAACTGTCGAAGATTTCTTCTATGATATATTCAGAAGACTTTGTGATGGAAGACTTCACACTCAACACTGAACAATTTAAAGTCTTGGTCTATTTATTTGACTTTTTAGTGTATTTTGACAAGCAAAACTATAGTTAAAACTTAAGGCCAAATTTAATGATTAGTAAGAGTAGAATATTATATTGATATCTCTAAATTTAGAATTAATCAACCATTGCACTATCTCTATTGCCAAAAAATGCACTTACTTATAAATACGTCCAAAAAAAAAATCAACTTACTGTTATTATACATGTTAAATTTTAAAAAATAAAACCCTATCGATGTTGCCATTATGATGTAATAGAAATTTTGATGTGTTTTTATAGGCCAGTTTGGAGGATTTAAAAAAAGAAAATGATGTGATATTTTAAAGTGGTTACCCTATATAACGAAAATGCTTTTAAATGTTTACTTAAGCTGAATTTTTGCTCCTTGTACTCGGTTTTTATATTATGTAAAGCCAGTTTTTAGATAATAAATGTTTATCTTCAAAAGAAAATTGTTTTATTTTATACAACGAAACATGTTGACCCTGTACTGAATTTCTTTATAGGAGAAAGTGATGCCGAATAGCAAGCACCCACTTACAAGCTTAAAATAAAATATTTACTAAAATATTGCAACAAGTTTGAATTAAATTCCTGTCCCAACAACCTTGCAGTATCAGGTGCTGGTCACCTAAGAAGATAATATAAACAGTTTGCATTTTGTTACGGATACTTGACCACGACAATTTTTGATTTATAAATTACACAATACATATCTTACACTCAATAATGAAGTACCTACTTAGCTGATAGTGGCTTCAAATAATCATAGATAATTTTTTTTTTGTATTGGAATTCATTGTGTGTAAGTACAATATTTTTTGTTTTTCTCCTATAAATATGTTCTTTATATAGACAGAGTCAACATGCCGTGGGATTTTATTGATGATTACTCTGGAGATAGATTTGTGAGTCATGGAAAGAAAACTTTTGATATGGACGAGCTAAAATTGGATCAACATTTTTTAACTATCAGTTCAGATGATTCTAATCTTGACAAACTTTACCTTTACAGCCTTAATAAAGAATGTATAGAGGTAAGAACAATAATATATTTACAATTGTTCAAACATATTATTTTTTCTGAATTCAGTGTCCATATCTCTTTGTTGATAAATCAGTGGTAAATATCTTTGATACCAATCAAATGCACCGATTAGCCACAGAATACAAAGAGTATTTTCCTCAGAATCAAAAAAATTCTGTAATTTGCGATCTTGATTCTAATTTCGAACAATTTGGTATCTACAATGTTAGAGTGAGCAACTCTAGTTTGTGTTCTGTTGAAGTATTAAAACAACCTGTTAACGTTTATACACGTAAGTGGATTTTTGAAACAATTTCTTGTAATTATTGTTACTGGATTTTTAGCTATACTTACTGTCTTTATGCTTCATTTGCTTGTATTTGGGACAATATATTTTCTGTTGATGTTGTGGCAGAAATGGAAAAAGCAAGAACCTAATCCTGATGCTTTAAAGAAAGAAAGAGTTATGTCTATAGACACTTTTAGAGGGTAGAAAACCATCATTATTCCAATTATTTAATTATTGAAAATTCCTTTTAGCATTAGCATTGTCATAATGATTTTCGCAAATTTTGGAAACGGAGGCTACAAATTCGTCCATCATGCCATCTGGAACGGTTTGCATGTAGCCGATTTAGTTTTTCCATGGTTTATGTGGATCATGGGAGCTTGTATACCGATTTCTTTAATTTCTAGTTTTAAGAGGAACGTTTCGAACAAAGATTTAATTTGGAACGTCTTCAAGGTACCTAACAATTACTTAATATCATTTTTTTGAAATACTAGTCTATGTCTCACAGTGAAGAAAATACCTAGTTAAAGAACTGGAGTAAAACACACAGTCTATCTTCACTCTTTATTTTATTAAAAATATAATCAGTTGAAACATGTTTTGGATCTATCATAGATCCATCAGGAGCATAAATTCTACAAGACACAAAATATGGGAATTGGGGAGAGTTGGGATGTATACATCAAAAAACTTACCAAATGGTAGAGGGGAATATGGTCACAGACGATATGTCTAAGCATTATTGATTATACAGAAGTATTCAACATAAGGTTGTTCATGCCGCATCCAACACAAAACATAAAGTTACAAAGCTGTAACTGGCTCATAAGCTTCCTCTCTTCCAGTTTTGTAACTTTAGGTTTTGCGTTTGATGCGGCATGAGCAACCTTATGTTGACTACAGCATGAACACTTCTGTATAACTATTAATGCTTAGACATATCGTATGTGACCATATTCCCCTCTACCATTAGGTAAGTTTTTTGATGTATACATCCCAACTCTCCCTAACTCCCATATTTTGTGCCTTGTAAAATTTATGCTGGTGATGGATCTATGATAGATCCAAAAAATGTTGAACCCCCCTTTCAACTGATTATATTTTTCATAAAATAAAGAGTAAAGATAGACTGTGTGTTCTTTCACTTAATATCAGTTATTGTTTAACTAATATTGATTCTTTTAGAGGTCCATTAAATTGTTTTTGCTGGGCATTTTCCTTAATTCTGGATCTGATGTTTATTACATAAGAATCTTCGGAGTTCTTCAAAGGTTTGGGTTGTGTTATTTTGTCGTTACAGTTTTGTGCATATTCACTATGAATAGAGATTTGAGTTTGCAGCATGGACATTTTATTTTGGTGAGTAAAGTTTCAACATCAGCTCCATGTTAACAAAAATACTTCTAGAAACACTTAGGAGATCTGTTGAAAGTTTGGAAAGCTTGGATTGTAGCTTCAATTTTATTGGCAATACATACAACCCTTATTTTCACTGTGGCTGCTCCTGGTTGTCCGAGGTACCTATGTAGAATTCATTCAGTAATTATTAAGTCAATAGTTAAGACCATTATTGTCAATTTCTTGAATATTTATTATTCATTGTAAAGAACCTACCATAAGTGTACTTTATATTATCCTATAGATGCGTTTTCGAGTTTATTTTTGGTGGTGGATTTTATTCGTTGAACGGGTATGGTTCTTCGTGGTTGCTAGATTGAAAATATTATTCTACTTGAAAGTTCTTTGATTATAGAAATAATTTTTAGTGGTTACATGGGCCCAGGAGGCCTTCACAAAAACCGCTCATACGAATCCTGTATTGGAGGAGCTACAGGCTACATTGACAGGCTGATTTTGGGCAACCACGTCTACCAAAACCCTACCATTTACCAAGTGTTTGAAGCTAAACCATTTGATCCCGAAGGTATAGTTGGTAAGAAGCTATAATATAAATACCATAACAGCACCTGAGATTACTTTATTTTATAGGCTGTTTGACTACAATTTTCCAAATAATGTTAGGAGTCCAAGCTGGTATTACTTTACTGGTTTTCAAATCGCATTCTCAACGTATGATCAGATGGCTAGTTTGGTCATTGGTTTTAGGCCTTTGTGGTGGTTTATTATGCGGTTTTTCCAAAGAAGGCGGTTTGATTCCTGTTAATAAGAACTTGTGGTCATTGTCGTTTGTTTGTGTAACCAGTTCTTTGGCCTTTTTCCTGTTAACAGTTTGCTATTTCCTTGTGGATGTTAAAAAATGGTGGACAGGAAAACCGCTGCTTTTTGCTGGAATGAACGCGATAATTTTATATATTGGTAACTAGTGAATTATTGAAATTCTTGTAGGTATAATGGAATTGACTGTTTTCAGGCCATGAAATGACTGATAACCATTTCCCTGTGAGATGGTACTATTCACAAGACATAAACGATAATGGTAGAAGGACTCACTTTTTGGCCTTACTCTCTGATACATGGGCCGCAGATTTTTGGGTAATTGTCAGCTACTATTTATATAAAATCAAATACTTTTTTACTGTTTAATAAAAAAGACAATTTTTACAGTTACACTTTTATTTTATTTTTTTACAAATTGCATGCAGACATCTACAAAATCACAATAATATCCCTATTATAGAGATAAATAAAATGCTAGCGCACTTATACCAAGATAAATAGTTACTATATTTACATTCCTAACTTGTAAAATCACGCCTTTGCTGTTGCTTCTGGCTTATAATATCTTGTGGTTTTTCAATATGAAACGGTTGCATATCCTCTTTCTAAAAATCTCAAGTCACTCCAAAGTTGAAAAGCTGAAACACTTACAAATTGAATGTGAGAAGGACAAATCCTGGGACTTAGTCCGTTAGTAGGTGGAACACTTGTTGGCGGTTGTGGAGGATGAGGTGGAATATCCAAAGGTGAAGATACATATGTAACACCTAAATTTTAGCCAATTAAGAAGTATTTTTTTCTGGAAAAAAATTACCTGTTACACATTTTGAGCATTGTCTTCTTAAAGCAGGCCTTTGTCTAGAGCCTCTACATCTTATAGCAAAACACAATTCTCCTCCCATTTCCGAGCATATAGATTGGTGCGGAGCACTCGGAGATCTTTTCTCTGCTATAGCATTTTTTTTAGCATTATAGCAAAACTCCATGATAGCTATAATAACAGCGAAAGCAAGACCACACAGTAATACAACAAAAACGCCACCTATATTATCCACCCCTAAACTGTTGGCTTTCGAGTCTTTAGTTTTATCGTTTCTTAGGCAAGTTTCTCCTGTATTTTTCCACCATTTATCATAGAGCATTTGGATTTCGCCTTTTTCTTGCAGCTCGAGAATTGCCAAGGAGATTTTGTCTCTCCAAGGACTACCCATAGGGGTTGCGATGCCGTAGCCTTTGGAGTCGAGCAATCCTCCTATTTGGGTTAAATTGCAGTCTCGTTGGACTATGTAGTCGAGCATAGTAGATTCCATTAGGAAAGCGTAGTTTCCTACTAGGACTTTTTTGATGCCGTCTTCGTAGGTTGGCACGAAAACTGACGGTTTGCGGTTTTCCATGTATCTCCACATTTTTTTGTAAGTTTCAATCATGGAATCCTAAATATATATAGTTTATTTAATTATGTTGCATATAGAAATAGATGGTAGCAGAGAAGATGATAACTTTATGAGAAAGTTCAAGTAAATGTAAAAGTACCAACGTATTACCCAGATATAAGAATATGTGAGATAATAGGACATTTTACCTATAAGTAAGTTTGTTTTTTACAGACAATATAATATATAATAGAACAGCTGTGCCCAATTTAGAAGTTCCAGAGATAAATCTCAGCAACAAAATATGAATAGAAGGGAAACGTACTTACGTAGAACGGCGTATGACATAATGACTAAGAGAAAGATGGTCAGAGTGAATGAATGGTAAAACAGTGAATTTTTTTTACAAGGACTTAGTGAGATTCAAACTTGATTCCCAGACAGCACACAAAGTCTTAAAGACGTATTTTTTAGATCTGCATTATGTCTGAACGTCTGAGTGGCCACAATACCTTTAAAACATCTCGTCAAAGACGTCTTTAAGACATCTTGTCGAAGACGTCTTTAGAATGTTTTAGAAAAATCAACGGTTAAACATATTGTTGTTAGTGTATATCTGACTTCATCATATACAGTCTTTGGGTAAAATGAAGGTGGTAAATTTAGTTTTGTACTGTTTTTTGTGCTGGGAAAATAGACCTGCTGGAAAATTGATTTAAATGTGGATTTATTTGACATTGAGGCGTAATAATGATCTCCTGATTCTGTAGTTCGAAAACTAAGTAAAAATTCTACCACCAAACCAGTAATGATCATATGAAAATCTTGATTTCCTTTGGGAACATTTCCTAGTGATTCAAGATCCAGTAATGATCAAAATTTTTAATTTTCGGCTCTTGATTTCTTCTAGAGAAGTTTTCTAGTGATTCAAGCGCCGGAAATAATCAAAAATTTCAGCAGAAAAATGTTCTAGCCGGTGATAATCAATATGAGAATCTTGATTTCATTCGGAAATATTTCCTAGTGATTCAAGAGCCAGTAATGATCAAAATATTAAATTTTCGGCTCTTGATTTCTGCTGGAAAAGTTTCCTAGTGATTTAAGCGCCGGTAATAATCAAAATTTTCAGTAGCAAAATGTTCTAGCCGGTGATTATCAATATGAGAATATTGATTTCTTTTGGAAACATTTCCTAGTTATCCAAGATCCAGTAATGATCAAAATTTTTAATTTTCGGCTTCTGATTTCTTCTAGAGAAGTTTTCTAGTGATTCAAGCACCGGAAATAATCAAAAGTTTCAGCAGAAAAATGTTCTAGCCGATGAAAATCAATATGAGAATCTTAATTTTGTTTGGAAACATTTCCTAATGAGTCAAGAGCCAGTAATGATCAAAAATTTAAATTTTCGGCTCTTGATTTCTTCTGGAGAAGTTTCATAGTGATTCAAGCGTCGGTAATAATCTAAATTTTTAGCAGAAAAATGTTCTAGTCGATGAAAATCAATATGAGAATCTTAATTTTGTTTGGAAACATTTCCTAATGAGTCAAGAGCCAGTAATGATCAAAAATTTAAATTTTCGGCTCTTGATTTCTTCTGGAGAAGTTTCATAGTGATTCAAGCGTCGGTAATAATCTAAATTTTTAGCAGAAAAATGTTCTAGCCGGTGATAATCAATATGAGAATCTTGATTTCCTTTGGAAACATTTTCTAGTGATTCAAGAGTCAGTAATGATCAAAATTTTAAATTTTCGGCTCTTGACTTCTTCTTGGAGAAGCTTTCTAGTGATTCAAACGCCGATAATAATCAAAATTTTCTGCAGAAAAATGTTCTAGTCGATGAAAATCAATATGAGAATCTTGATTTCCTTTGGAAAGATCTCCTAGTGATTCAAGAGCCAGTCATGATCAAAAATTTAAATTTTCGGCTCTTGATTTCTTCTGGAGAAGTTTCATAGTGATTCAAGCGTCGGTAATAATCTAAATTTTTAGCAGAAAAATGTTCTAGCCGGTGATAATCAATATGAGAATCTTGATTTGCTTTGGAAAGATCTCCTAGTGATTCAAGAGCCAGTCATGATCAAAATTTTAAATTTTCGGCTCTTGATTTCTTTTGGAGAAGTTTTCTAGTGATTTAAGCGCCGGTAATAATCAAAATTTTCAGCAGAAAAATGTTCTAGCCGGTGATAATCAATATGAGAATATTGATTTCCTTTGGAAACATTTCCTAGTGATTCAAGATCCAGTAATGATCAAAATTTTTAATTTTCGGCTCTTGAATTCTTCTGGAGAAGTTTTTTAGTGATTCAAGCGCCGGTAATAATTAAAATTTTCAGCAGAAAAATATTCCAGCCGGTAAAAATCAATATGGGAATCTTGATTTCCTTTGGAAAAACTTCCTATTGATTCAAGAGCCAGAAAACAATGATATTCGCAGAAATTTTTACAGGAAAAAGAAGACTTAGAATGTCAAAGATCTGATGAGCGATTAAAGAAAAAGTTTTGAGTTTTTTAACTTCTTAGTTCGGTGTTGGAAGCACCATTCCATAAATATGCCTAAAGTTTTGTATGGGCTATCAGAATCAAGTGTGATAATCTATAAAGGAATCATCAGAAATAAATAATCCTGAAATTCAAATAATCCTCAAAGTAGGTACGTAGCAATTAATCTACTTCCTGAAGAGAATCTTTGCAGGTCAGGCAATACCAACTTATTGTAAAAATAATAATTAAGCCTCACAACGCTTTTTATATGAAAATTTCAGTGCTGACACACTGTTTGTGATCTGGTAAATGAGCCTTACTCTAAAAAACGTCATCGTAGATCCACTTTCTAAAGTCCCATAAGGAATTTCCGTTTGACTGGCCAAATCTTCAGCATTTTCAATCGGCGTGATCATCCTTTCTACAGTCAGAAATGCTGCCAAATTTGCAGTGTAAGATGAAATGATTATCAAAGTAAAAAACCACCAGATGCCTCCTACGATTCTTGTTGAGGTTGCCTTGAAAATAAATTTATAATTAATACATTGATGTGTGAATTGCTTGTGGAAACTCTCAACACTGAATATATAGCACATCCTTTAAGGTATTTTAAGGTTTAAAAAAAGCATTTGTGCAAAAAAAAATAGATTTAAGAAAGAATAGAAAGGTGCTTGCGCTATATAATCAGCTATAGAGATAGACATAGAGAGGAAAAGTAAAGAAATAAATAAAAATTGTAAATAGAGTGGTATAGATTTGGCTTCCAAAAACAAATCTACACCACTGCGACCAAAACCAAAAAATACCTTGGGATTCAAATCGGATCCTTGTTGCATCAAAGTACCGATAGTGAACCAAAACGAATTGGCCAAAGAGAATTGGTTCTTCAATTGCTCTTCTTCCGAATCGCATGGATGCGGACTTTGCCATTCGTACGGAGAAAATCTGGCAACTACAAACATGGTTATGGATACTAGGACGTAGGCGGATAGCACGTACATCCAGATATCGGCTGCCAGAGGGTTCATGAAGGAGAAAAGACGGATTTCGGGACTTGATGGGACCTTGAAGAGAATAATTCAATTATATGTATTTTGGTTTTGCTAAGTTTGGAACCTTTTCGTCTATATATTCGTGTTAAGTGTTTCTTGGCCAAATATCTAACCTGTGGATAAATTCCAGTACCCTGGCGCAATAAAGTACCAGTTACAAACCAAAAAGCGGTCGACATGTTCATACGATTTACTAATTTATTTGGTGTTTTTGGGTTCCTTTTCCATGGAAGCGGCTTGACCCACTCGTAAGGTGTTACTTTGGCTAAAGCGTAAATAGTGAATCCTGCCATGAAAAATGCTCCTATAGTTGATAGCCAAATATTCAGGCCCAGCGGATCGAAAAAAGTGAAGAATGCCGATTCTTTATCGGTAGGAACCTAAATAAATAATATATTGATATATTCTAGATGTGTGGTTTCTAAATATTCTGAATAAAAGTATATACAGGAGCTATGGATATTAGAGGAATTAATGTCTCACTCAGGAATGAAAATTTTGGACTCTAAAGACGGAAAAGTAAAGACTCTGCTGCTCTTTCGACAGGGGCGGATACAGGCCTTTTGAAAAGGGGGGGGGGGGGCATTTAAGTTAAAGTAAGCCAGATTAGGTTAGTAGTTTGGGTTAGTTTTGGCAGCGCATTGTGGAAGATACGGTTTTTCGAAGGAATGGCCATTAAAAATATGGGAATGGGAGAACTATTTAGGAGAATAAAGTGATTTTAAATAGGTAGGTACAGGGTGTTTGGGTTAGTTTTGGCTGAATTTTTAGAAACCATGACAAAATTGTCTTATTTGAACAGTTCAACAGTATTTTGGTGAGTAGATGGCTGCGGAACTTGCTGCGCTCGTCCCGCAGAGGTCCACCCATAAGTTCCGCAACAATCCACTTATTTGTACTTGAACAATAACTTATTATATAAAGTCAGAATTTGTAAGATTATCCACTTTTTGTCAATTTGCCTTTCAACAGGAATTAGTAATGTTACTTTACCAAACTAGTAATATATTGTGATAAGTTTTTCAAGTACAAATGTGTGGATTGTTGTGGAACTTATGCGTGGACCTCTGCGGGACGAGCGCAGCGAGTTCCGCAGTCATCTATTCATCAATATATTGTTTAATTACGATACTAAACTGACTCACTCAAATGTGCGTTATTCTCATTAGTTTAAAAATTACACATTTCAGGTGAATGTCTTACTTGAATAGTTCAATAGTATATTGGTGATAAGATAGCTGCGGAACTCGCTGCGCTCGTCCCGCAGAGGTCCACCCATAAGTTCCGCGACAATCCACTTATTTGTACTTGAACAATTACTTATTATATAAAGTCAGAATTTGTAAGATTATTCACTTTTTGTCAATTCGCCTTTTAACAGGAATTAGTAAGGTTACTTTAATAAACTAGTATTATATTGTGACAAGTTATTCAAGTACAAACGAGTGGATTGTTGTGGAACTTATGGGTGGACCCATCTCTTCACCAATATGTTGTTCAAGTACAATACTAACCTGATTCACTCAAATGAGAATTTCTCTCATTAGTTCAAAAATTACCTACACGTTTCAGGTGAGTCTCTTATTTGAACAGTTCAACAGTATATTGGTGAGTGGATGGCTGCGGAACTCGCTGCGCTCGTCCCGCAGAGGTCCACCCATAAGTTCCGCGGCAATCCACTTATTTGTACTTGAACAATAACTTATTATATAAATTCAGAATTTGTAAGATTATCCGCTTTTTATCAATTGGCCTTTTAACAGGAATTAGTAATGTTACTTTACCAAACTAGTAATATATTGTGACAAGTTATTCAAGTACAAACGAGTGGATTGTTGTGGAACTTATGGGTGGACCCAGCCATCTCTTCACCAATATGTTGTTCAAGTACAATACTAACCTGATTCACTCAGTTGAGAATTTCTCTTATTAGTTCAAAAATTACACGTTTCAGGTGAGTGTCTTATTTGAACAGTTCAACAGTATATTGGTGAGTAGATGGCTGCGGAACTCGCTGCGCTCGTCCCGCAGAGGTCCACCCATAAGTTCCGCAATATTCCACTTATTTGCACATACAGGGTGTTTTTTATATTGACACCCCACCTACAGCCTATATACCTTCACAGGTAGGAGATAGGTGTAGATACAAAAGTTGTAAAGGGGGGTTGTAAAGAGAGGGGGCAGTTGCCCCCCCTGTCCCCCACTGTACCCGCCGCTGTCTTTCGACGACTTTTAATTGAAACCTTTGAAAATTCTAAAGTTTTACGACTTATGGAATTAGGACCAAAGATGCACCACTGAAGATTAAACATTCCAAGAACCTTGCAGTCTCACTTCTTAAGATGAAGACTCTTTAGAAAAATCTTAAAACACAGAAAGTCGGTACATATATTGCAGTATATTTGTAAAACTAAACAACATAAACCGCATCCCAGACAAAGGCGATAACTACAGCAAACTAAAACGTCCAAGAATGTTATATGACAAATCTGGATTCCACATTTCATTTGTCTCTTCTGCAATAAAATCCATGTGTCGCCCGTCATTCCTAGTTTTTTCATTTTATAATCCAAAGAAATTTACGAGTAGTTGGAAATTTAGGATTATTTCACACATTTCAACAAAATTTTGGCCTTAAAACTTAAGCATTCAAGATAAAACGTATTTTGCTGCACCATCATCATCTCATTTGCATAAATCCTCAAACTTCAACGAAGAAAAATTGTCAGAGGAATCGCGAAATGGGTTTTCATATTTTACAAGTTAAACCAGGTAAAAGGTACTTTATGTGTATGTTGAAGTGAAATATGGATTTCTGGGTACATTTAACCAGGCCCAGCGAGTTTTAGTTGGAGTCTAGAATTTACGAGATGTTTTGCATAAATTGGATTGTCCGAAAATATCTCATTTTGGCTTACCTTAAACAAAATGCTGATGCCCAAATTCATAAACGGTTTTGTAAAATCGATGACGCTCTCTCTGGCATAATTTATTGTCATAGACCCAACAGCCAAGTCAGCTTTCTGTGAATTTGAAAAGATTACAATCAAATTCACATACTTATATGCTTTTTATTTTAGAATAAAATTAACTTATTCACCTTTTCCATAAGTTGTTTAACAATACCATTCCATTCTCCAGTGTCTAAATCTATGGCTCCATATTTACCATCGGGTACCAGCTCTATCCTATACTCAAAGCCTACCATTTGAGCTAGCTCTTTGAGCAAGTCTATGCAAAATCCTTCGTAGCGATCGTGATCAAGCGGGGACGGTGATTTTTTTAGCATTACGTAGGGCTGAGTCTACAAAGCAGAGGGAATTTATTTATAAGGGTGCGTCTACATTAAAAGAAAAATTTGACAGTGAATATGAAAAAAAAAAAAACATCTAATCGGCTCAAATTACGGAAAATCTTGGAATGAACACCATTTTTATCCTCGCTCTATTCAAAGAAGATACTCGTAAAGAGGTCTATTAGAGCCTCTATCAATTGGACACACTGCCACAATAGGATCGTAAGGGGGATTGAATTGTTGTGACCCAATTTTCCTTTTTATTTAAAAAAAAAGAGCCAGCAAATCCTTAAAGAAATTCAATTCTTAAGCCGTATTTATCAAAAAACTTCCTAACGAATTTAGGAATTCATTATCTTAGAGCGAGATATCTAATTACAAAGCGCTTTCTCTTGATGGGAGATCTAATTGCGCGCAAATTATTTTTGAAATAAATTTGCATTTAAATGGCGCGCTCGAGGAAAAATTACACTTTAATTAAACGAAAAGCTAAGAGAATCTAAAGCTAGCCATATACATATACGCAAAATTACATACATGCACCATCAATTCTCGCACCATGCCATTCCACAGTCCAGTTTCTGGATCGCAAGCGCCATATTTTCTATCAGGCACCAAGTCTAACAAGTAGTCAAAACCCACTTCCTGAGACACTCTTTCTAAGATGTCGATGCAAAAACCGAAAAATCTACTATTTCCCGTATAATTTTTCCCTTTGTGCATCATAACGTATGGAGTTTGCTATTGAATGAAATCATGCAAAAAATGGATGTTGATTGGAATTGTTTCCTTACCAAAATTGTTGTAACCACCAAAGTAACGTTCATGGAGCCGTGATCGAAAAATGCATTTCTGTCCGTTATATTTACGCCCATTCCTGGATACCATTCGCCCACTTTAACCAAAGCGTGCTGCTTTAGCTTTAATAAATCCAATTTAAATCGGATTCTTTTGCCTTCTTTAAATTCAATTGGACCGCTTAAACCCTTAACTTCAACCTGAAATTGAAAAATTACTTGAATATGAAAAGATGAGTCGTATTTTAAAGTGCGGTATTTAACTATACAGAGGCAGCTAACGACGAGATCAGTTTACTGTTGACAAGGGTTGTAATTTTCCGCATGCAGATTAGCCACTTTAGGATTATGTTCTTGAATGTAGTTAGTAGACAAAGGACGATAGTTGAGAAGTTCATGAATTGTTGCTAAGTGAGGCATGAAATAAATACACAAGTATGATATTTTTTAAGAATCACTTGAATTATCTCTTGCAGTTGAATCAGCTCTGGGGAAAACTTTGTGGGCCTGGAATCAAGAAAAGACGCAGGCAGCAGAAGGAGGAGGTGTGTATTGTCGATGTCAGACCTTCTCTTGTAAACCCAGTAAGAGCGAGGTGGGCAACCTTCGAGAAGAAATCTTTGAAAAATTGCCAGCTTTTGAGAAAATTTAATCTGGGTATCATACCATCTTCAACAACTCAGGCACACACAATATTACTGTTAATCCTGAGGATCTCCCAGAAAGGCCAAGGTTCTTCGTTTTCGGTGCCAGAGCCAGAAGCGACCTCAGTAGAAGTCATCAAGAACAGTTTTGGGATACAAAACTCAGGCCTAAAGATGGAGAGCTGATCTACAGCAGAGCCACTTTTACTTCTCGAACCTGTATATAATTGAAAAGAATATCGATGTACTGCCCCTAATTCTTTTATCAGTGGCGGCTCGTGACTATTTCAAGTGAGGAGGCTAAAAAATAATGAATTACGGTAAAGTAACCACTGCACAGCAGGCAATAATTTATCTCAAATTCAATAAAAACCACGAATACTCGAGAAAATGTTCCTTTTCTTCATGTAAGTATATTATATTTTCACAGAGATATTCTCGATTTTTGATTGGCTCCAAATTAACCGCTGACCAATAGAATTATAGACTGGGCCCCGTGATTAAAATACTTCTAGCCCTTCGGGCTCGCGTATAACTCCAGCCCTTCGGGCTCGTATTACTCTGGCGCTTTAAGCTCGCGTATAAAGCTCGGGACACATCTATCATGCATTCTTCCGATCCGACTCCAATCATACAATCAGGGTCCTTATTCTTGGAACAGGGAGCAGCGTTCTCAGGAGAACGAGTGTTCCGCTGGTCTGCTGTTCCAAGAATAAGTACCTTGATTGTATGATCGGAGTCGGATCGGAAGACTGCATGATAGATGCGTTCCGGCCTTAACTTCGGTCCTTCGGTCTCGCGTATAACTCCGGCCCTTCGGGCTCGCGTATAAACAGATTTTTGTCGTGGAGGCGCGGGATTGTTGTCAGATTTTTCTAAATTACATTGAAATATCGAAATTTGGAAAGTGTATTTTGTGAATTATTATTTTAATTAGGAATCAGGAATAAAAAACTGAGATTGAATTTTCAATTTTTTGGAGGAGGTTTAAATTCCCCTGCCTCTTCTGACGAGCCGCCACTGTCTTTTATGTTCTAGGGATTTGACGACAGCCAAAATCAGGCTCATCGGGGACAATGGGCCGAGGGATATTATTATCGGATCGGCCTACTTACCCTACGATGACCCTGAATCAACACCCACTAGAAGTGTGGAGGACCTAGTGAGACACTATAGGACGAATGGGATACAATTGCTCATCGGGTGTGATGTGAATGCTCACCACACAGCTTGGGGAAGTACAAATATCAACCATAGAGGTGTGTCTTTACTACAGTATGTTATTGCATACAATTTAGATATAGTAAATGTAGGAAATAAACCTACCTTTGTTAATTCAACTAAGAAGGAGGTAATCGATCTGACACTAGTCTCAAATCATATAAGTAATTACGTCCCAAACTGGCACGGATCTGATGAGGCAAGTTGCTCGGATCACAGATACATCAAATTTGAAATGTCAGGGGAAACAACTTCAGTAAATTATCGAAACCCTCGAAATACAGACTGGAATGCATACAAAGCTGACCTAGAGTATACAGTCTGCTGAACATCAGGAAGACAATAAGAGACACTGAAGACTTGGAGAAGGCTGTGGATCAATTCAATGATGCAATCATCTCAGCCTTTAATGAGAATTGCTCACTTACAGCAGAGACATCCACCAGGAAAGCGCCCTGGTGGAACGAGACCCTTGTAAAGTTAAGGAAAAAAACTAGAATACAACGCAATAAAGCCATGAGAACCAGGCAGTGGGAAACATACAGAACCACGTTGAAAAAGTTTAAGAAAGAGTTTAGGGGATTCCAGAGGAGGTCTTGGAGAAAGTACTGTGAAGATATGGAAAGTACTCAAAATTGTGCTAGACTACTATGTAGTATAGGCAAATTAGCACGAGAAATGGGTTAACGTCAAACTAAATGCAATACAATTTCTGTGAGTGGTTTCCTAATGGAAATTTCCTGTAGAAAACGATGGTGAAAAGTCTACCACTCTATAATGACGCGTTTATACAATATGGCGGATTTTCGAAAATTGCTGACTATTTTTTATTTGATACTTACTTACAAAACCTGCCACTCACGTTATCTGGTTGTGGAATTCGCTAAAACACGTCAAGGGGGACCTTTTTTTTGCGTGAAACTGGACTTCAACCCTCTAACCCCCAGAGTTGAAGGGGCGAAAAAAACATCTCAGAAGAACTCACACATTTTTTTTAACAGCGTATGCGTTTATTAAGTTTTCCCACACTGTTATTAGTGCGATAACTAACTACTTACCAGTTCAATGCACTAGTGTGTTAAAAAAAAAAATTACCGTACTAGTACGTGGAATGATAGTTGCCGTACTAATTTGTTTGTTTTAGATAAAATTTTATTCACATCTCGCCTGATAAAGGTTTACGGCGTACGCAAAGTGAAGTTTGAAAAACTCACCTACGGCTCATTTTATAAACTTCACTTTGCGTGCGCTAAAATCCTACCACAATAACAACAATAACTGTCTCAAATAATGGACAGCCATTTTGATAATTCCGCCATATTGAATAAACGCGTCACTTTAGAGTAGTAAACTTCTCCTCATCGTTTTCTGCAGGAAGTTTCCATCAAGATAAGGAGGTATTCAAATAGCCTCGGCTGCGCTTCGCTTCGCCTCGGCTATTTGAATACACCTCGCACCTAAAAGTACGCTTTCGCAGCTTGGAATGTAAATAACTATTTTTATCTTGAACATCCGTTAAGTTTATAATTATTTCTCCAGCCTATCTTTATCTGCAACCACCTCTGATGATGCCAGTGCCTATTTGTACTGTACCAAATCAAGGTATACGAGGAGCCCCTTGTTCAGGGTGAGTCATGTTCTTTTGTGTCTTATTATAACCTTAAAAGACAAGTTTAGTGTCTATTCCACGTTTATTTTTTTATTAAAATCAGTAATTTAGTTTTCTGATAGGTTCCTACTCCTACATCTAGGCCTAGTATTGGTCCAGTTCAATAAAGATAGCATGCTTCCCTAAACTTCCTGTATCCCTACTTGTGAGGTCATTTTCATGGTCTCTAATGGATAGTGAATATTGTTTGAAAAGGCCAGGGAAAATTCCTAAGCCTTTATATTCCGTACTACTCTATAGCAGTCTCACTATAGATTACAGGCAAGGTGACTTGGCCGTAGTAGGTTTTTGTGAGTAAAAACAACGGTAATATTTGACTACTACACCTTTTCCATAAGTATTTCAGAATGTATCACTTGTATTTCAGATTCATCAATTCTAGTTCAGAATGCGTCAATTGTATTTCAGTTGTGTAAGTTCAATTTCAGAAAGTGTTATTTGTATTTCAACTTTGTCAGTTGTAGTTCAGAAAACATCATTTGTGTTTCAGATTCGTCAGGTGTATTTCAGAAAAAGTCATTTGTATTTCAGTTTGGTCACTTGTATTTCAGAAATCGTCATTTGTGTTTCAGATTACTTATTTGTAGATCAGAAATTGTAAATTGTATTTCAGAATTCGTCAAATGTATTTCAGATGTTATCAATGTACTGTATTGAATAAAATTTATAATGAGTCACCTATACACCTATCTTGTGTTGATTTGGGGAAATCTGCGTAGATACCTACTAATTTCTGAACTACATCTGACAATTTCTGAAATACAATTCACGTTTTCTGAACTACAATCAACTAATCTGAAATACAATTGATGCTTTCCGGTATAAAATTAACTAATCTGAAATACAATTGACACTTTCTGAAATAAAATAAACTAATCTGAAATACAATTGATTCTTTCCCAGATAAAATTATTTATTCTGATATACAATTGACGCTTTCCGAAATACAATTTACTAATCTAAATTACAATTGAAGCTTTCTGAAATTAAACTGACGATCTCTGAAATACATATGGAAAAGGTGTAGTTGAATACTGATTTTATTAGGAAAAATATCACAATTTATATTAATCTAAGTCAAAATAATTTTAATAATAATTTGTCATAATTTTAAGTCTCTAACCTTGTTACGACATGAACCTATTATGTTCCGGAATAGTGAAAGGTCGACACTTTTGGTGACCTGACACGCTTTGACCGTGAATATTTTATTATATTATCTCTATTGAACAATTGTTTTTAAATAAGGAAATTCTAGGCAGTTAATTAATCTTTTTTTTTTCTTATGTGCCTCAAATGGCCAAAATTATCAGAAATGCTTTTTGGGCACATGGCGACTAGACATTCTCCCGGCTGTCTGTGGAAAGCATGCTGCGTAGAGGACGTAGCTCGATCATTTCCTGTGCTGCTGGGGACGAGTCATCCGTATCTGTTGATTTGTGTTTCGTTTTTAGCGGTGTTTGACCCGAGGCGTCGGTTGTGTGAGTTTGATGCTCGCCTGCGGTGGCGGCGCGCGTAGTGACCTGCCATGACCACTGTCAATACTATCGTGATTATGCACAGGGTTATGCCATTGCTTGCATATGTGTGGTTTCGGATTTTTGCCCAGATTGTATTTTCAAGTTGACTTCTGACTGTTTCTTCGTCGTGTCCTATTGACTGGAAGTTGTCATTTATGTTGAGGATAGGTTCGTCTTCGATTGGTGAACTTGGATTGCTTGAGGTTTGGATTTGATTAATGTGTAGTGCGGTTGCTTTGGAGTAACTGACTACTACTGGAACGGTTTCTAGCCTTTTTGGAGTCAGGATGTTTCGTCTGGTTTTTATGATGCAGTCTTGTGATACTTGGAGTATCCCAGTATTTTTCAGACTGATATCTTCTCTGATGCCGCTGCATGTTATGGCTATCTGTGTTGGTGATGCTGCGATAAATAGCCATGTGTTTGGCATATACAATCTTCTCCATACTATAGATGCGATTGCATTCTTCCGGCTTTTACATGAAGAGGTTGCTTGGCGTCCGTAAATTTCATCTAGAGCACAATGCGGGTTCGTTTCTAAGTTTTTAACAGTAGTGGGGTTGCATACAAAATCCGTGCCATCGCCTGGGTCACACAATTTGAATTCTTCGTCACTTTGCTGGAAGTATTGTTGATTGTTGTAGTCTACTGCTAGTACTTCATTTGGAATGTCCAGTGTCCAATAAGACCCTTTTTCGATTTTTGATGGAGTTGGAATTACTTTTAGCAACTGGAATTCTGCTATGTCTTCAATGATAAAGTATCCAAAATTCTATACACACTCTCACTTTGTTCTGTTTTTGTTTTTTCCTCTGGAGTATGTATTATTTTCAAGTTTGATGGAAGTTTTTTATTTGCGTTGTCAATGCTTCTGTGGATTTCTGATGGAGCTATTAAATCCAAGAGTGTTGCTCTTCCAGATATCACTTGATACAGCTTGGTGTAGTGGTTTTGGATTTCGGCTATGAAGTTAGCTGATGACACCTCGACTTGGAAGTAGTGACCACAGGTTTCTTTAAGTTTAAATTTTACCTTTTATTTAATATTTTTTATTAAGCATTACTCAATTGGAATGTCTCATTTCCATGTTCAGTTCGCTGTTCGGCTGAGCATGTGAATTTTCAGAGCAGAAGACTCTACGAAGTCGTTTTATATTTTTCATTGAGCATTACCTATATGGAATGACTCATTTCTATGTTCAGTTCGCTGTTCGGTTGAGCATATGAATTTTCGAAGCAGAAGCAGATAGACCCAACGAGGTCATTTAATATCGTATATTTTTTATTGGGTATTGCCTAATAAATGGAATGACTCATTTCTATGTTCAGTTCGCTGTCCGTTTGAGCATATGACATTTAAGGGCAGATAGACCAGTAGAAAGGGTCCCAATTTAAATAAAATGATCGATCATTATTATTATTTTACACAATAATATTTAGTTAAGTGTAATACTGGGTTGGAATCAAATTATACTTACATTTATGATTCTCATTGAATTGACATTCTAGATTTTGTAATTTTTCATTGAACTTTTATTAAACATTGTGGAGAGCGTTGCTGTATTATTTCTTTTTATACTTAATATAAAACGTTACAATGTTAGAGAACGGAACTGAACTTGCAAACAGAATACCTTGTAACATTCTAAGAAGTATCCTAGCCTTTGCCGATATACCCAAGGCCTGCACTGGAACCATGTAACGAATAGACATCGTTATCTCTATAGCTATGGCACTTGCTGTCTTCTCCTCTCTTTCCGATATCAATAGAGAAAGCACGTCAATAGAGATAGACAAAATATCTCTATTCATCACATAGTCTCAGAGCTGAAGGCGCATTAGGGTATCTTTCATACCAAACCCTGGAAAAATAGAACAGGACACGGTGGAGTACCTAAGACCTATTAGTCTTACATCATTTGAGCTTAACACGTTGATGGGCAGTACGTTGTGACACTGTATGTATTTTGCAAAGTAGAATAGGAAGAGCTGAATTTCTTTCAGAGCATATAGTTTATGCAAAAAAGCAGTTAAAAAAAAATTGTGGATATATCGACGACGACCATGGACGTCGTGTCATATTACATATTATGTATCTGTAGATGTACCTAATCAAATCAAAAGCCAATAAAGCTCATTGGGTCGCTGGATAATTTTGCTATAAGCAGTCAAGAGCCCATTAATATTCAAAATTTTGATTATCTGGATAAAAATTATGAAAAAACTTACAGCGTTAATATAATTAATAAGACTCAATCCACCGTCCCAGGGCTGTTCCTTATTGCAGGAAACGTTGGACAGTTTGAGCGTGTGCGATTGATCTAAAGTTTGTAATCCGATTGCGAAGACGTAGACCGAGTCGTACATTAGAGCAGCTTCGGCCTAAAACAAGAAAGTTTCTAGTTTCCAGAATTTATGCCCTGAAAAACATCACAAGTTACTTAATTTAATCGAGAATTTTAAAACTTGGAAACTCTCATAATATAGTACGGTAACGTTTTAAAATAACTTAACAAGTATTTATTGGGGAAATGTTTTAGTTTGTTTTTCTGGAAATTTATTTTAAGGCATGAAAATATCCAGAGGATTTATTGTAAAGAATATTTTTATAAAAAATCTCTAAAATTGAAATTATTTAAGTCTACATTATTGGGCACAAAGCCAAAAAGAAACCACACATTTAGTGATTTTTACCAATAATTTTCATTTTACCAGATATTCCAGACAGAAAGTTAAATTATGGCAAAATTGCAGTTAGGTGGAGTAAACAACTAAAGGATTTATGATACAAATTTGGGTGTTTTGCTGAAATATGAGCCAATTGCCCGGATTTTTCCTAGTTTGGACCAGAACCAATTTGGCATTCCAAAATATAAAATGATTCATACCTGTATAAATGTGTTGTTAATCGGTGACAACTCTTGGTTGGCCTGGAACTTAGCCATATCCCTTAAAATCTCTTTGGCATAGAGTTGATCAATATCGACAACTCTAAAAGCTGTCATATTAACAAAATTGTATTTAAAGTCTTCCAAATCGAACGTTTCAATGTCAAAGGTGGTGAAAATGTAGTGATACTTGTAGTCGTTCATTTGAAGCTGTAAAATCTGGAAATAAAAATAAAATTGCCATCGATCAAGGTAGGTACATCGTTAAACTTATCAATTCCGGCTTTTTATCGCTTAAAGCGAAATGTAGGTACCTACATAATAAATCAGTAAGCGATAAAAGTTTTTGGCAAAAGAAATTTCAAACTTACCCCCTTAAGGAACAACTGCATGTTAGATGGCTTCGTATCGATAACGATATTATGTATTTCTTTACTTTTTATTTCTTTCAGCACGCTTCGATAGGTTGGAGGATCCGCTTGACGCAAATGGATTTCCAAATCTTTATTCTGAGGAGCACGGACTAATTCACGTAATTTTATTAATCCTGGAAAGAGTAAGATCATGAAAGATACACCAAAAATTAATTTGGCCAGAATTAATTATTGGATACTATTTTTGTATTATCTTACCATAATCTTCTTCGTAAATAATAGCGACTCTGGTCCAATTTAAAAAGTCCATGACGTCCTCGAAAGCGGTATTGAGCAAATTTTGAGCCGGATATAGATTGATGGAGAACTCTTTAAAGTCACTTTCCAGATCGATTCTGGTTTCTATGTGGGGAATATCCAATGCGTCGCAAATCGAATGGATGTGAGACCCGAGGAGTGGATCCGATGGTCCAAAAACTGCATAGACTCCGTTTTGGACTTGACTACAGGCTAAAAAAAGAAGAAAATTTAAACCAAAAAAAATATTATCATCGGGCTAAAGTCATTTGTAAAGTGTCGCTCTACAGTTAAAAAATTATCTTGTTTTTTTTTTTCGCTTTTACGGGTCTCACAATTTTTGAACCGAACTGGAATTTGAGTGATGGCAGATTTAGTAAATTTATCAAATATTTTCTCATCTAAAGGCGATAAGATTTTAATTGGTAGTTTCGGGTAATAATTATTAGTTTCCGGACCAAAAGTGACGGTAATTTGCTATGCTATGCTGGTTAATTAATAGACGGAGATTTTCATCTAGGCATACTTTAAATATAATTTCAAGCCGTTCGGTCGATAAATGAAGTTTAGCTATAGCTAATTTTTCATCTATATATAGTCTGTTTCATTCAAATCGAAGTTTCGGACTATAAAACCATTGTAAACCATAGGCTGACTTCATGGTGCTAAACCTGGATTTGAGATATCAACTGCAATGAAATAGACTATAGTAATGCTTTTTGTTTAACATTGAAGTTTACTTATAGCATTACCACACCACACATAAGGTTTCTCCGCCATCATTCAAGAATAGCCGAATTTTGATTTTTTAAAGTCATTTTTTCATTATTCCTGGCACATGATTTGGATTTTGGTCACCCCGTAATTTTTTACAGTGGTAGAATAGTCTTCGATTACCAGCTTTTTCAAAGGTTCCCTACAAGAGCCGGGAGTGGTAAAATATTTTCCACCCTGTATCTTTATACAGTGGCTCCTAGGCGCCGGAATTTCAAAATTACCATGGGGGCTTAGGCTCCAAAAATTAACATAAGTAGAATTAATTAGACAGACAGGACTAGGCTACTAGATACATAGACTTAAATGGGACCAGTTGACATACTAATTTCACAGCAGGATCGCCACGCTGGTTCATTGATCATCCCTGCAGGTTCCTTCATATTATTAAAATTCGAGCATCTTTGGCGGCTCGGCTATACTCGGCTTTGACAGCACCATTGGCGTAGTCAGGATTTTGTCTTGGGGGGAAGGGGCAAATTTGCAAGAAGGGATCCTTGCAGCAGTTGTAGCTTCGCCGCTGCAGGAAGAAAAGCGCCGCAGCCGCTAAATTTTTGGGTCTTTTTACGGTATTTTTGGGATTTCTAATGATGGAGGCAAGGGGAAATGCGGCTATTTCAACAAATTTTGATGAGAATTTATAGTAGAACGTTACTGATATTATAATGTATGTGTTTGATTATTTTCCATTTTGAATTATTGTATAATGAATAACTATTATTAATGGGATGTTCCATCTTTCGGTGTTAAAGTTGCTCAATATATTGGGATATAGAATATCATCCATAACTTTTTGGAATGTAGCCGGCGCGTCCTTCAAACCAAAGGGCATGCGCAAGAATTCATAATGCCCGTTTTCTGTGCTGAGTGCGGTTTCTTCAACACAATGTAATTTAGAAAAATCTGACAACATTATTTCAATCAATCCCGCGCCTCCACGACAAATATCTGTGAATCTGGGATACTCAGTAATACCGGCCCGAAGGGCCAGAGTTATATGCGAGCCCGAAGGGCCGGAGTTATATGCGAGCCCGAAGGGCCGGAGTTATATGCGAGCCCGAAGGGCAGAAGTAATACGAGCCCGAAGGGCTGGAGTTATACGGGAGCCCGAAGGGCCGGACTTATACGCGAACCCGAAGGGCTAGAGTTATTCCAATCACGGGGCCTAGTTTATAATTTTATTGGTCAGCGGATAATTTCGAGCCAATCAAAAACCGGGAGTATTTAAAATGCGATTTTTAGCGTCCGATCAAAGAGTCGGGAATATTCAAAAAGTTTAGTTTTATCAAATTGGCTTTGGAATGTTGGTTTTCTTAAGATTTTTACTTTTTTCAGAAAACGGTGGTTTTTGCAAACATATACTACTTTATCATTGTCTTTGTCTTACTCACTATAATCCATAAAGAAACCTTGTAATGTCATTTTCATTAAAATTAAACTAAAAACAAGTTTCCTATGATTTATTTGGGGAATTTTAATTATTATAATCATTATTAATTAATTATTAAATTGAATTTTAAACAAAAAACACTTTTAAAATGTTATTTGTAATTTCCGAAATGAGATGTGGCAACGTTGCTTTTAGTTGGCCATTTTGAAGTGACGCCTTGTAATTTTTTGCCAGTTTTTCCTCGAATTTTTCACTTTTCCGGAGCTTTTCAATGGAAAAAGGCAATTTAACGTACGAGGCTTTGAATTTTCTTCATTTCTAGCAAAAATGTCCAGTTTTAAAATGACATAACAAAATCCCATTTAAATTGGTTTTTTTAAAAGTTTTGATGTGGCAACACCGTTTGTACCAACTTCAAATAGGTTTTGTAATAAATGTCATTTGCCAGTTTTGACAGTCGGCAATTTTTAATTGACGTGTTCACATTTCTATCCAGTTTTTCCTCGAATTTTCCGCTTTTCCAAGCCGTTTTCAGTCAAGAAAACCGATTTGAAATACGAAGCTTTAAATTTCCTACATTTTGTGCTAAAAATTCCCAGTTTTCCAATGGGGTAAGTGACAAAAACTCAAATTTCATTAAGTAGGCTTTGGAATGTCATTTTTAGAAGTTTTTCTTTGAATTTGTCCGCTTTTCCAGGGCTTTTCTGGTCGGAAAAACCGATTTAAAGTACGAGACTTTGAGCTTTCTTCATTTTCCACCAAAAATTTCCAGTGTTTTAACGGAGTAAGTGAGAAAAACTTTAGTTTTATCAAGTAGGTTTTGGAATGTCATTTTCGTTGGTTTTTTTTTTTGGAATTTTTATTTAAGGTTTTTGGGGTCCGGGGATCGTTTTCTATCACTTTTTTTCTCGAAATTCGCAAAATAAAAAAAAAACTTTTTTGACGTTGACAGCTGTCAATTTTTTTTGACACAAATCGATAGTTAGCGTCGCGAATACTTTATTCCTTTTACCCGTTGAGTTACTCGAAGCTGCTCAATGTCAAAAGCTTGAACGTTCCTTTTAAAAGTGCGTTGAGCACTTGAGTCGCTCATAAATGCATCCCCCTTTCCCCTGATGCACCAAATTTGCGGGGGGTGCAAGAAGCCCTTTTAAATAATGATGAAATCTGAATTGTGTGTTTTGGAGTGACTCCGAGGAGCTCGTTAGGTGTAACTCGATGTATAAAAGGAATACAGTAAAAACTGCCTTGTACCGGGGTTTGATTTTCGTAGCTTTTATAGTAGAGCGGAGAAAAAGTCGAACATGTGTCAAATTTGACAGATGACATTTGTCGATAATGCCAAAGTGTCGTGCGACAAAAGTTTTATCCGAAAGAACCCGTTCATTGTTAACTGATTTTTCATACTCCGACCCTTCGGGCCGTAATCTTTGAAACAAAAAGACGTCATTTTGTATCGATTGTCAAAAAAACTCAAGGTTTGAAATTTCAATTTTTTGACGTTTGTTGTATCATGAGCAGTGTTGCCATATGTTTTTCTTTCAAATCTCGAGCTCGAAGGGCCGAAATTATAGATTATTTTAAAGACAATCAAGAGCCGGGAATAAACAAAATTCGAATCCCCAAACCAATTAGGAGCCGGGAAAATCCAAAACTCGAATTCCAAACCCGACGGGAAATTGAATTTTTTATACCAACTGTTGCTACATGTTGTTACATAAATCTCACCCTAAAACCCACTAAAAAACGACCTTTGTTTTTTGGAAAAAACAAAAGATTTTTTTTTTTGAGATTGACAGCTGTCAAAATTTTAATGGGCATATAGATTTAGCCTCGGTGAATACGTAGGAAGTATCATTTTTTTTTTAACATATGTCAAAAAAGACGTTCGGCGTTGCCAGGCGGTTGGTTTTTGACATATATCGATGAAACTTCTTATTTTAGGGTTTTCGGAGCCTGGGGATTGTTTTCTGACATTTGTTTTTTGAAAAAAAGAAAAGGGAAAAATTTTTGACATTGACAGTCAAAATTTAAAAAAAAACCTACATGGGAATATAGATTTAGCCTCGGCGAATACGTAAAAAGTAGCCAAACAGGGCCAATTTTTTGACGTTTGTTGTATTATAAGCAGTGTTGCCATATGTTTTTTTTTCGAATCTCGATTCTGGAAGGCTGAAGTTATCTCAATAATTATGAGCTCAAAGGGCCGAGGTTATACGAGTCCGAAGGATCGGAATCATGCGAACCCGAAGGTCCGAGGTTATACGAGCCCGAAGGGCCGGAATTATACGAACCCGTTCATTGTTAACTGATTTTAATACTCCGGCTTTTCGGATCGTAATCTTTGAAACAAAAAGACGCCATTTTATATCGACTGTCAAAAAAAACCAAGGCCTATTTTGATATTTCAATTTTTTGACGTTTGTTGTATCATGAGCAGCGTTGCCATATGTTTTTATCAAATCTCGATTTATAGGTTATTTTAAACCCATGCAATCATTGACATTTCTGAAAAATATTTCCTTTAAAGTCCCAAATATCCTTTGGAATCCCCAAAAATCTATTAAAATCTCAGAATTCCATAATTTAGTGGAATTTCGGTAGAATACTTATTATGTTATTCTGAAAAAGGAATTAGATGTGAAATTTTTGCGGAGTTTCCATAGAATTCACATTAAATTTTAATTCCTCTCGAATTACTTGAAATTTTAGTGAAATTCCGATCAAATTACACGAAATCCTTAATGAATTACATGGAGGAATTTTAAAAAATTACATGAAATTACACCGAAATTCCCAACATGAAATTTCAGTTTTTACTGAATTTTAGTAATGCCGAGGAATTTCCAACTAAAAACATGGAATTTCGGTGATATTCCGAAAAATTACCATGTAATAGCATGAAATTTCAATATATTTCGATGAATTTTTAAGAAATTACTTGAAAATTCATTAATATTCCCAGAAATTCCTGGCTATTAAAAGAGAATTTCAGTGAAATTCCGAAAAATTCTTATGAAAATAAATTAAATTTTGAAAACTCTTTGAAGTTTCATTGGACTTTCGAGAAATTTTCGGTTATGAAAGTGGATATTCTCATAAAATTTTAGTGAATTCCGAGAAATTTTTAAGAAATTACATGAAATGTCAATGAAATTCCAAAGCATTTTATGAAAATTTTGTGGAATTCCAGGATATTTCAGTGGTTAAATTTTGAGGAATTTTAGTACCTAAAGGTAAAAAAAAAATATGGAATTTTGAAATTGAAATCTTAATGGAATTCCGAGGAATTTCATGAAATCCTATACTGTAATTAGCCTCCTCACTTGAAATAGTCACGAGCCGCCACTGCCCTGTATCTTTATACAGTGGTAGAATTGTTTTCGATTACGGTCTTACGTGAAAGGTTACCTACAAGAGCCGAGAATAATAAGAATAATAATAGTATTTTACATTATTAGCCAGGTAAAACAGTTTTTACTGGCGATTGAAGGAAATGACTAGCGAGCCGCCAGGCGAGCTTGTCACCTTCAAGAGCCAGTAAAAACTGCTACCTGGCGTATAATGTACAATAATTTATTTGTTACTCATTTGTAAAAGATATAGGGACAAATAAAAAATCAATACATAACAAAAATTTGAAATTTATATGTTTTTCCTTGATTTTTTCTCACAGAAGTTTTGGTAGTTGGTATAACTATGAGAATGATACGTTGTTAAGACGTTGTTTCTAGTTTTAAATAGGTTTTTTGACAGATTTCCATTTTGCAATTTTTTTCCAGAAATGAATTTATTACAAGATATTATTAATGAAGCTGCAGTCGTAGCCAACAGTTTATCACCAGAAAAGTCTCCCAGAAGGTAGGTACCTACAAGCAATTATTCTTGTGATAAAACCGATTTTTCAAAAATAAATAATTCTACTGACTTGTAAAAAGTTTTTACAGTTTAGCTGTCAATTTTACAAGTCAGTAGAGCCAGTAGCTTGTAAAAATCAATTTTCGCTGGTTATGTTTTGACTTGATAAGTGACGTTTTACAAATGAGTGACAAATAATAGTATTTTACATTATTAGCCAGGTAAAACAGTTTTTACTGGTGATTGAAGGAAATGACTAGCGAGCCGTCAGGCGAGCTTGTCACCTTCAAGAGCCAGTAAAAACTGATACCTGGCGTATGATGTACAATAATTTATTTGTTACTCATTTGTAAACAATCTTAAACAATAAATAAAAAATTAATACATATAGGTAATACAATTTTAATAAATAATTCTCTAACCCTACTGACTTGTAAAAAGTTTTTACAGTTTAGCTGTCAATTTTACAAGTCACTAGAGCCAGTAACTGGTAAAAATCAATTTTCGTTGTTAATGTTTTGACTTGATAAATGACGTTTTACAAATGAGTGACAAATAAAATATTTATCACTCTGTTTCTCTATATAGTGGCTTATTGTTGTTGAGTCAAATTACAGTGGGTTGAATTGTTTTCTATTACCGGCTCTCGTGAAAGACTTTCTAAATTGAGATCCAGAGATATTGAAACTTTGATTACCCTTTATCTTTATACAGTGGTAGAATTGCTTTCGATAACTGTCTTACGTGAATTATTTCCTACAAGAGCCGGGAATAATAAAATTTTGATCACTTTGTAAATTTATATAGTGGCTTAATGTTGTTAAGTCAAATTACATTGGGTTGAATGTTGAATTGTTTTCTATTACCGGCTCTCGTAAAAGATTTTCTACATTTAAACCCAGAGATATTAAAACATTGATCACCCTGTATCTTTACACAGTGGTAGAATTGTTTGCGATTACTGTTTTACGTGAAAGATTTCCTACAAGAGCCAGGAATAATAAAATATTGATCACTCTGTATCTTTCTACAGTGGCTTATTGTTGTTGAGTCAAATTACAGTGGGTTGAATTGTTCTCTATTACTGGCTCTCGTGAAAGACTTTCTAAATTGAGATCCAGAGATATTAAAACATTGATTACCCTGTATCTTTATGCAGTGGTAGAATTGTTTTCGATTACTGTCTCACGTGAATAATTTCCTACAAGATCCGGGAATAATAAAATATTGATCACTCTGTATCTTTATAAAGTGGCTTATTTTTGTTGAGTCAAATTACAGTGGTTTGAATTGTTTTCCATTGCCGGCTCTCGTGAGCCAGAAATGATAAAATATTGATTATCCTGTATTTTTACACCCTCTCAAACTTACAGATACAGATACATGCAAAATCACCTTTTACCTACTATCACCTATTAGTAAGAAACCAAATACAAATTGATCACCCTGTACATTTAAATTTATGATTCAAAATTCTAATCTATATTCATTTAAAACAAAATCGGCATTACTGTATGCTGACTCAAACAAAACCGAATCAATATTAATTAAAATTTGTGATAAATGATCTTTTTTATATAATATATAGAAAAACGAGGCAGTAATAAATGATCCGGAATATGATACACATCACACACGCAATTTCCCCCCTATATAGAAACTCTATTGAGAGCAAATACATATTTTATTCAAAATGCATGGATCCAGTTATAAAACATATTTGGTAATTAGCCTCAAAAAGGATTTTGCATATAACATGTACAAATAAAATGTGTATCGTACTCAATTAAATTATAATAAAGTAGCAAAATTATTGGATAAAATTGTGTATTGTTACCTTTTTTGCTAGCATGAAAACTATCGTCCACCGGAACATATTGTATATCGTATACCAAGGAAGTATGCGGAAGTAGAGTTTTGTCCCTGTTAATTTTATAGACTGCATACCGGAAAGCGACTTCGGCCGCACTTCCTTTTTGATTCTCAGTGAAAATTGCACCTGAAACAAACAATGAATCGATATACATAATGCAAAACACTTTCATGAATATTTATTCGACAAGGGAATAAATCCGCTTTCTCTTTGCATAAAATTAATAATTAAACAGGATTAGTAAGGTTACAATCTACTTGTTGAAGGCGCCCGGGTTTTAATTAAAACTTTATTATGATGGCATAAACATTTTTGTGCACTGCCGCTTTCGATTATCTCTTGGGAAATTGAACTGCCTCAGGATATATGTACAGTGCAGCTATTCGAATGAACTTTATATATTCTGAAGCTTTCACTAGCAAGAGTTTTCTCTAAATAATTAATCTAGCTTACTTTGTGGCATTTAGAAAATAGGTAACTTTCATGGTTACGAGAATAAAGATGACAGAAGATATTTGAGAATAAATCAAAAGTTCAAAGTCGTCTTCTGACGTAGAACTGTTAAGGACGATTTGGACAGAGAAAATTGATACAAGGAATGAGATTCTTTGCTTTTTCTCTTTGCAAACCTCTACAGATTTTATATAGCTGTTTGAGAAAACTTGCAAGAGTCTTTTAAAGCATTTCGGAAACAAGTTCTAAATTACAAATGAGCTTACAGTTTATTGCTAGTAAAATTTTAACAGAGAAAGCTTCTGATGCTGTCAATAATCAATAAGCTACTGAAAATTGTAGAGGAAATCAAATGAACATATAAGACGAATGAAGAGGCTAACTGGATACTTTACTTGCACAGAAGTTATATTATAAAACCCTATGTTATTATTATACAAATATTTTTCCTTTTCAATGTTAAATATAAACATACGCCACTGTAAAAGCCCACGATTTTATAAAGCCTGGAAAAGTACCGTCATATCAAGGTTTCGGCCACACAAAATGCAATATTTTAATATAAATATAAATACGGCGCACTGAGCCTTATTTCTCATTATTTTGTTTTTAGTTGAACTATAGTAATTAGAATCAAGATCCTTTTGTTTTCGGCCTTTTGCCGCAGCAATTTATAGTCTAGTATTTTTTGTTGTAGCTTCTTAGTTTTTAATAAAATAAATAGTTTCTAGAAACAAGATTTACTAAACGAAAAATTTAATTAGAGCAGTTTGGAGTGGATCGATCTTCAGAGTACTAGAGTCCTGAGACTGAGTTTTCGAAAAAAGTTTAGTCCAGTTCGTTCCACTTTTTGTAAAAATTAACTGAAGAAACAAGAACCAACGTAGAAAAATAAAGTGATACAGTTTCAAGTATCGTGTCCTAAAAACCAAAATGTTCCAGGCAGCTTTCTTCGTCCTCCTCATAGGAATATCCAGTAACGCCTACACGTTAACTCCATTAAAAAATCCTATTTTACCGATTTCTATAGGAAATACTTACTTCACAACAGAACATAACACTGCATGTTATCACTATCACATTAATATTACCCTTATTGGAAAGGGTATTAAAACTCTCGAAATAACTTTGAAAAATTTAAAAAATACTTCAAATTTAACCAAATGGTCTAATAAAGACGAAATTGTTACTCTATTAAAAGTAATTATTGAAAATAGTCAATCACGTATCAAAACATCAAAGAAATTCGTAAAACAATTCTCACACGAACAACGAAATAAATGTGGAGTATTCAATTTCATAGGTACAGCACAAAAATGGCTATATGGTACATTAGACGCAAATGACGGCAATAGATATTATTCTTACATAGTTTGTTCTATGAAATTCAATGCTAAATAAATCTCTACTTCTGAAATTTCTCAGAGGCACATGTAAGCCAATCTCTGCAAGAAGATCTAGCGCGTCAATTGAATTGTTTATTAAGTTTAAAAAGGATGGAGACATCTCATAATTGTCTACGTTTTTCTAGAGGTGAAAGATTCATAATTTAGTTTGCATCCTCTCTAAACTTTCTTTATGCACCCTATAATAGGGTTGCCAAACTGAGCTTGCATATTCCAGAACAGATCTAACCAACGCACAGAAAACATTCCTCAAAACAAAAATATTTTCAACCTCTTTCAACGACCGAAAAACAAATCCCAACAACTTCATGGCTCTGTTGGTCATATTACTAATGTGATAAGAAAAAGCAAGATCACTCTCTAGCCACACTCCTAAATCTTTCACCAGATTCTTCCTTTCCAACCCTACGGAATCAATAAAGTAGTCAAATAATATTGGCTGCTTCAATCTGCAGAAAGTGACAACATTACACTTAGCAATATTTAGGCTCAAGTTATTATTTTGGCACCAATCGAAGAAAATGTTAATCTGATTTTGCAGAGACTGACAGTCACCATGATTATTAATAATTTTGAATAATTTGAAATCATCCGCAAAAGCAAGAAATATTTAGTCATCAAGGACTGTCTTAATATCATTCACAAATACATTGAAGAAGAAAGTTGACAGATGTCCTCCCTGAGGGACACCTGACGTCACTAAGATTTCTGTCGATATATAGTTTTTTATGTTAATAGACTGCCGTCTGCACTTCAAATTACTTTCAAGCCACTGAAAAAGAGAGCCATCTAATAAAAATTCCCTCAGCTTTGCCAGTAGGATATTCTGATCCACCCTGTTAAATGCCTTCGAGACGTCAGTATAGATGGCATCCACTTGGCACCAATTCTCGAACGCACCCAAAAGGATTTGCTCATACACCAAAAGATTTGACACCGTGGACCCCCCCCTAGTGAACCCATGCTGTTCCTGTATAATGAAATTTCTAAAAAGAGGTGTTATTTTACCAGCTACCAATGACTCAAATATTTTTGCCATTAAACAGATCTTACAAATAGGGCGGTAGTTTTTAACATCTGCTCTGTTCCCATCCTTAAAAACAGGTGTGACATATGATTTCTTCCAAACCTCAGGGAAAACTCCAGTTTCAAGCGATAAGTTAAAAATATTACACAAAATTTCTGATAAGACATATTTACAATTTTTCAAAAAGAGTAGGTACTGGAATTTCATCATGACCCATTCTCAAATTCTCCTTTAAAACATTAATAATTGACATCTTCAAACAATTTAAGTTTACAAACTTTTCACAAATAAAGCCAAAATCCGAAAAGCAGTAGGTATCAAATTGTGAGTATACCGAGGAAAAATGTTCCTTAAACAATTCTGCAATATCCTGTGCATCATCAGTTTCCCGCCCATTAAAGAACATGCACTTTGGGTATTCTGCATTGCAAATTTCGTTTGTCATGTAACTGGTTTTCCAAACTTTGAATGTAGTTCCTGTAAGAAGACTGGGAAAAATAACGGCATTGATTTCTCAAATTAGAAAAGTAATTATAATCATCTTGTGGCTGTGAGGCCTTATATTTTTTGTGAGCCTCCTTCTTAGGTATTATCAAATATTTAAGATCTGCAGACATCCATTTTGGACTTTTGAACCTTGAAAGAGGCGTAAATGATTCATAAAATTGCGATACTGCCACATTGATGTCGGTACACTCAGAAATTAAACTCCAGTCAACACAAGAAAGGCAAAAATTTAGCTCACAATAATCAGCGTTCGTAAAATTAAAGTAAAAATAGTACCATGAAAAATTAGACAGATTTTCAGTTACGTTACAGGCTGTTACAAATTAAATAAATTTGTCACTATAAGACAAGATAACCTAGGGTCGTGGAATTCAAAAAATTAAGATAACGTGTAAGTATTCCCTTTATGTGCAAATGAAACCACTCAAAATCCAACAAACAATAATTTTATTTGATATTTCACAATGTAATATGTAACATAGAGTAAATTTTGATGAGATGGGTGTTGGGGTTTCACTTTCGTGAACTGGAGCTCTTCGGGTTGTTTTCTGTATCCAGGAAAAAGATAGATTGCTGGGGTGACGTCACTCCAGCTCAGACTCCAAACAGTGATCTTTATGTCGAGTGGGTACCCAGAAAAGAATCAGTCAGTATCAGGTTCACCAATATTTGGAATATTAAATTTCTGAATTCTGTCAAAAAGTGAGTGTCTTGCAAAGGAAGTTAAAATTGAAATTTAATATAAAACGATTGTTGTACAGACACTCCCTTCCAACAGAATCAGGTATGAACAGCTATTGCATGTTGAAAAAAAAAGTATATTTTAATATAAAAAAAAAACAATTAAATAATTAAGAATAATGGAAAGATAATAATAAAATTATAGTTATTAATGATACTAGTTCGATATGAACACCATAATGAAACGCGTGTAACGTTTAGTTACACAAGTTTCATTAATAAAGTTCATATCGAACGTGTATCATTCAAAATTTAATCTACGATGGTCCAAATCAATGACCTATTAACACAGATAGACAGAACATCTCATTGATAAAATAGCTTTGTTTTGGTTGACTACATGTCTATGGGCCAGGGGGGGGGTGAGCTGTGAGAGCGGCTAGGAGTAGGGATTCAAATGATTTCGCTAACTCCGCCCCCATTTTACTATCGCATACTTGGCAACTCTGAAAATTAAATCAGAATCAGTGCTACAAAAGTGTATCTTTATCCTTATATTTTACATAATTTTAGAAAAAGATGCGGATACACTCACTGCGCACTGATTGACAAATGGAAATTTGTCATAAAATACCTGCTCGTTGCATATTGACATGACAATTGAATAGAAGCCGCTGATTGGTGGAAAGGTGGAATTCGAGGTGGGATTTATTTTTTTGGAGCGTTGCTAATTTTCATTGAAAAATAATCGCTTTCCACGTGTTAGAGAAAGATACAAAATAACACAAGGATTAATAAGTAGTGGGGAGAGATGCGGTTCCTGGCATGTAGTCAACCGATATTATTGTTTATTGTTCTGTCTATCTATGTTAATAGGTCATTGGTCCAAATGGATTTGAATTGCCTTGAAATAGCAGAAACTTCAAATTAAAATTCAAAATTTAGCAGGTGCCCGTACTAGTTGGGAACCTGCTTGTTGATTTTTAGAATTTTGACTTTGGCAGCATCGATATTGGAGTCCATTTTTGTGCCATAAATTCAGTCTTATACTG